TTGAACTCTGTGGAAGGAAGTAGCAGCTCTTCCCTTACGTTATCTTAAAGAAATTAGGTGCATTCTAATGACCTTTAATTTGTTTCTTGTGAATTTCTCTTAAAATATGTTTATAACTTCTGCCTACCACATCTCCGGGTAACATTTATAGGTTTACAGTTTCTGTCAGATTTGACAGATTGGAGATTTGTTATTCTAAGAGTTGGTTAATAAACTCTCCCTGTATGGTTTTGTGAGTATTGATCCTAACCTATTCACTTCCAGTCTTTCCGGAGTGTATTTCATTCTAGCCTATTCTAGGTTGAAGAGAAGTGCGTACCGGGGACGAGGTGGCTCAGCTGCCCCGAGTAGCATACGTGTGTGGTTTAGATGTTAGCAGGTGCTAACATGTGCTGGGGGAAGGTGGGGGGGATGAGGCCCAGTGGTAGTCAGGTCCCCACGGGGACCTCCCCGCCCTCCTCCATTGAACAGCGACTCTGCAGACCTGCCAACTGTAAATTAGGTGGGAATTTGAATAGGCTTAATCAGCTGCTTATTGTAAGAGAGGATTGGAAGCAGACGCTTGTCTCAAGTTCAGATGAAGCAGGGAAAGAGAAGTGGTTTTGGCAAAATATGTCCTCGGTAGCCACTGGCCACGGTTCATTTTTGATGTCTGAGTTGACGACTGAGATCAGTAATTTGCAGACTTTCTGGTGTTGGCACACATGGATTTTTTTTTTTTTTTAAGTTTTCTTTTTTCTGTTCCCCCAGCTCTCCCTTCTCCTGTACTGTGGTTTCTTGTTTCTTTGTTTTATCTTATTAAAAAAAATTTTTTTTTAATGTTTATTTTTGAGAGAGAGAGAGACAGACAGAGTGTGAGAAGGGGAAGGGGAGAGAGAGACACACACACAGAATCTGAAGCAGGCTCCAGGCTCTGAGCCGCCAACACAGAGCCTGACGCGGGGGTTGGAACTCACAAAACCTGAGCCAAAGTCAGACGCCCAACCGACTGAGCCACCCAGGCACCCCTGTTTTATTTTTTTTAATATTTATTTATTTTGAGAGAGAGAGCGAGCGAGCAGGGGAAGGGCAGAAATAGAGGGAGAGAGAGAGAATCCCAAGCAGGCTCCGCACTGTCAGTGCAGAGCCTGATGCGGGGCTTGAACTCACATGCTCTGTGAGGTCATGACCTGAACCAAAATCAAGAGTCAGACGCTTAACCAACTGAGCCACTTAGGCGCCCCTTAACAATTCTATACTTTGCTCAGTTGTTCATCATGATACATGTACTCATAATCCCTTTCACCTATATAACTCATCCGCCCCCCCACCCCCACCCCTACCCCCACCCTGCTCCCCTCTGGAAACCATTCGTTTATTCTTTGTGTTTGAGCCTGAGTTTTTCTGTTTTAATTAATTTTTTTTAATGTTTATTTATTTTTGAGAGGAGAGAGAGAGAGAGAGAGAGAGAGAGGGAGACATAGAATCCGAAGCAGGCTCCTGGTTCTAAGCTGTTAGCACAGAGCCCAACTCAGGGCTCAAACTCACGAGCCGTGAGATCATGTGCTGAAGTCGGACACTTAACCGACTGAGCCACCCAGGCACCCCTAGCTTTTTACTTTAAATCCAAGTTAGTTAGCGTATAGTGTAATAATGATTTCAGGAATAGAATTTAGTGATGCATCACTTACATGTAACAGCCCGTGTGCCTCCCAACAAGTGCCTTCCTTAATGTCCATCCTCCATTTAGCCCATCCCCCCCCACGTCCCCCCCCCCCCCCCCCCGTTTAAGTTTATTTATTTTGAGAGAGAGTGGAGAAGGGGCAGAAAGAGGGAGACAGAGAATCCCAAGTAGGCTCCCCTCTGTCAGGGTGGAGCCTGACATGAGACTTGAACCCACAAACCATGAGATCATGACCTAAGCTGAAATCAAGAGTTGGACACTGATTGGGGCGCCTGGGTGGCGCAGTGGGTTAAGCGTCCGACTTCAGCCAGGTCACGATCTCGCGATCCGTGGGTTCGAGCCCCGCGTCGGGCTCTGGGCTGATGGCTCAGAGCCTGGAGCCTGTTTCCGATTCTGTGTCTCCCTCTCTCTCTGACCCTCCCCCGTTCATGCTCTGTCTCTCTCTGTCCCAAAAATAAATTAAAAAAACGTTGAAAAAAATTAAAAAAAAAAAAAAAAGAGTTGGACACTGAACCGACTAAGCCACCCAGATGCCCCTCCTGTACGGTGTTGATAGTCATTTAAAGAAACCACAGTGGAATAAAATTTAACATTGTTTGGAAATTGTGCTACCTGCTGAAGACACTAATTTTAATAATTTCATAAAACCAGGGTGGCAGTCATGGCACTATATAGACGAGAAAAACAAATACTGTTTCTCATGCCACTTTTCCCAGAATGACTTTCTGTATAATTTGCTTTGCACATTAAATAGGTGAACAAAAATCTTTTTAAATGGAAAGGTCTATTGTTTTCAGGTTTCTTACTATCCCAGTTACATAAATATTGGTTGGGAAGAATTAGTGACTGTTTATTTTTATTTTAAAGGGAGAGTGAGAGTGCACGAGCAGGGGAGAAGGGGAGAGAGAGAGGAAGAGAATGCACAAGCAGACTCCATGCTCAGCACCGAGCCCGTCGTGGGGCTCGATCCCACAACCCTGGGACCCTGACCTGAGCCGGGTTCAAGAGTCAGGCGCTCAACTGACTGAGCATCCAGATGCCCCAATTAGTGACTTTTTAAAGAATGTGAACATAATATTGATCTAGGCATAGTCTGATTGAATTTCTTATTTAAATAAAACTATGAAATATAACTCTCCTACTTCCAAAGAAGAGACATCCTTTTATTATATATTACAGAGATTCTTTGATATTATGTAGACTTTTTTTTTTCATTTTCATTTCTTTTCATGTTTATTTTTGAGAGAGAGAGAGACCGAGTGTGAGTGGGGGTGGGGCAGAGAGCGAGGGAGACACAGAATCCGAAGCAGGCTCCAGGCTCTGAGCTGTCAGCACAGAGCCCAATGCAGGGCTCGAACTCACGAGGTGTGAGATCATGACCTGAGCCAAAGTTGGACGCTTAACCGACTCAGCCACCCAGGTGCCCCTAGTTTTTTTTTATTTTTAAAGAGTTGGTTATTTGGTTTGTCACTATACTATTACTGTTTCTCTTGACTTTTGAATTAAGAGAAAAAATTATGTACATCCTTGTTATTTTGATAATGTTTGTCATCTGACTTCTAGTGATGGTATAATCTGCTTTAGAAATGTTGGAGTGTGTGTAATTTAAATATTTTTTGTAGCTATGATTTAATGAATGAAAAGGCACGGCCCAATTTAGGATAATTGAGGCAGAAAATCTGGTTACTTTACTTTATGAAACTTATCCTTTCGAAGCTATTCGAAGCCAGTCCATCCCTGCCTAATCCGGAGTATTATAAGAATGCAGACCAGCCTTATACCTTGATGATTATAGGTGTATTTGTTTCTCCATTGGAGAAATAGTAGAACTGGCCATGTAAAAATACCTTTTCAAGGAGCAAAGGCAAGAAATTAGGGCCTTTCCTTTTTTAATTTTTCAAAACGTTTAAATTAGGGCCTTTGCATTTGAATCTTTAATAAGACATTAGAATAAACTATTTTCTAGTATTGAGAATGTCTTTTGGATGACTATACTTAGGTGTTTATAATTTATATGTAACATTTAAATGTAGGCAAATCTCTCACTAAGCATTACATGGCAATTATGCATTGTTCTCTCATTGTAAAGATAGTACAGGGTAACTTATTTTTGTACTTTGGACACTTAACTCATCTCTGTTTAAACTTTTTATTATTTCTTCCCCAAATTGTAACCTGAGTTGTGAAGCCATTTTTTCAGTTACATTACATTAAAACTGGATATCAGCCTAATGAGTCAGTCAAGCAACTCCCCCCCCCCCCCCACCTTTTGGTTAAGTTTCATATTTATAGGTCTATGTATGCTCCACCCAATAGAAAAGTAGTATGCCCTGCAAATAGAGCAAGCCTACCCAGCACTCAGAATTCATGTTCTGGGGGCGCCTGGGTGGCTCAGTTGGTTGAGTGACCGACTTTGGCTCAGGTCATGATCTCACGGTTCGTGATTTCGAGCCCCACGTCGGACTCTGTGTTGACAGCTCGGAGCCTGGAGCCTGCTTCTGACCCTGTGTCTCCGTCTCTCTCTGCTCCTCCCCCACTTACACTCTGTCTCTCTCTGTCTCAGAAATAAATAAACATTAAAAAAAAATTAAAAAAAAAAAAAAAAGAATTCATGTTCCGATATATTTCACCCTGTGCTGGTACTGTCCTACCTTTTTTTTTTTCAAAGATGTCAGAACTTGAACAGTCATTTATTTTGACATTGTGCCCTACTTACAGTATAATTTAACTGAGGCTGAACTGGATTTTTCTGATAGGGCATTTGAATGGCACATTGTATCACATTTTAACGAGGAATTCGCAGTGTTTTTACATGAGTATTTTCTAAAAGATTTTTGTTTGTCATAAATTGACTTTCAGAGAGTTTCACTGTGCTTCACCACATGCGAAAAGATTAACCTTTCATAGTGTTCTGATCGTCTTTTTTCTATAATGGGCAGGTATTGTTAGTAGGAGGAGAAAAGTGTTTATCATCCAATAGATTTTATCTTATGAGGAATTTATTGTATTCTTGCAGTTCAGATTTCTTTGGACTAAAGAGTTAAGTTCTAAATGTTAATCTGCATTTTAAAATGTTAATAATTATTTCTGGTATGTCTTAGCCTGGTGTTAAAAAGGAGGCATTTTTTTTTTCTTTTACATGCGTTCCTATTTATGTTCTTTTGTTAACCTAGACAACAGATTTCTCATACGGGAAAAATTCTTTGTTAGATGGGTTTTTGGATTGTTTTTAAGAATTGTTAGCTCAAGCATATAAAATGCTCCTACCAAAATGTGTAATGTATTTGAGAATTTTAATGTTGTGCTCTTTATAAACGTGTTTTTTGTTTCCATTTAGATCTTGAATACCTGATGCATGCAAAACAACAGCTAGTAACCACAGCTAAGCGTTGGGATTCTTCTTCTAAGACTATTATAGATTTTGAACCTAATGAAACTACTGATTTGGAGAAGAGCCTTCTTATCAGATACCAAATTCCTCTCTCTGCTGACCAGCTGTTTACCCAGTCGGTTTTAGACAAATCATTGACCAAGACCAACTATCAGTCACGGCTGCATGACCTTCTTTATATTGAGGAGATAGCCCAGTATAAAGAAGTCAGCAAGTAAGTTACCTTAGGAATACTTTTTTTTTTTTTTTTTAAAACAAACTCCCCTTTCAGTGGTATTTTTCATTCTTAAATGAAAATGGAGGTTTGCCAAAGTGAAGACAGGTAGTAAAGATTGTTATTCAGTAGCTGTCTTTCTGTGCCGTGTCCTGTTCATCTCGGCATCCCTAGTGTTTAGTATGTATTTCATTTCCATAAGACTCTGCCACGTACTAGGTGTGTAAACATGTGGTCCCTGCTGTACCGGAGGTTTCTGCGAATGGTAGTCAGAGCGAGCATTCAGTAAATATTGGTTGAATACATGTACAGAAACTGAAAGAGACTACTACATATCTTGGAATGCAATTTTAAGAATGAAATGATTTAAATCTTCAGGGAAACTATTTGATAATAATGAAATACCTCTATAGCCACTTACAAAAGCTTTAACATATTTTGCGTTTTATCCATATGCTACAAGTTAAGTCCAAGCATAAATCCCAAAGCTTATTTGAATCATTATAGGAAAGTAATCCTAGAAATTAAAGTTTGAATGAAGGCAGATATTAATGAAATGGTTGGTATGTTTGGTAGTAGCATTCCACTTTTTAGATGAAATGGGAACAAGCTTTAAACAGTGAACCACAGTTATGATACATGAGTATATTTTTGTAAGCAGTTTTCCCTTTGAATATAGCCTAACCAATCTATTTTTTTTCCGGGCTGCCTTATTGGTACCTTAACATTAATTATTAATAGATACTGAACCCTTACTAAGGTATATATTTAGAAAAGGAAAAGTAATAACTTAAAGATACCTTGTGTTACTCTATTTATAGATTAAATATGATCTGACTTTTGGAACAGATCTAATTTCAAATTACATGCATGTAAAGTTTACAAAGTCAGAGTGTATTTTTTGTTACTCTTAAGACTTTAAATCATGGCTGGGGTGCCTGGGTGGCTCAGTTGATTAAGCATCCAACTCTTGATATTGGCTCAGGGTGTGATCTCACGGTTCCTGGGATCGAGCCTTGCACGATTGGGCTTCATATGGAGCATGGAACCTGCTTGGGATTCCCTCTCTACCTCTCTCTCTGTCTTCCCCTCCCCCAATAAATAAATAAACATAAAAGAAAAATAGACTTTAAATCATGGCCATTGATGGGCTCTTACAAGACTTTTTTTCTTCTTTTTTTTAATCTTTATTTATTTTTGAGAGAGCAGGTATGAGTGGGGGATGGCAGAGAGATAGGGAGACAGAGGATCCCAAGCCGGCTCCGCACTGTCAGCACAGACCTCGATGCGGGGGTCGAACTGATGAAACATGAAATCATGACCTGAGCTGAAATCAAGAGTAGGTTGCTTAATCAACTGGGCCACCCAGGTGTCCCTCTTACAAGACTTTCACTGACTGTCTATATACAGTTCTAATGAAATAGTCACTTATTAAATAACAAGGACAGTGGCTTGTAACATGTATATTCACATTATTGCTATGCATATATGTTATTTACATGGTCATAGATTCCCTTTCCTTAGTAAAGAACACTTGATAAAATCATAAAGTTTGGGATGGAATAGCTTATTTTGTATTAAAAGAATTTTTTTTTAACACTTATTCATTTTTGAGAGATAGAGCATGAGCAGGGGAGGGGCAGAGAAGGAGGGGAAGATACTGAATCCGAAGGAGGTGCCAGGCTCTGAGCTGTCAGCACAGAGCCCTGCCCAGTATGGGGCTTGAACCCACAAATTATGAGATCATGATCTGAGCTGAAGTCGGACTCTCAACTGACTGAGCCCAGGCCCCCGTTAATTTTATTTTAGAGAGAGAGAGAGAATGCATGAATGAGGGAGAGGGGCACAGGGATAAAGAGAGAGAATCTCAAGCAGGTTCCACACTCAGCGTGGAGCATGATGTGGGGCTTGATCCCATGACCCTGGGATCACCACCCGAGTGGAAATCAAGAGTCAGTTGCTCAACCGACTGAGCCACCCAGGTGCCCCGGGATGAAATAGAGTTTAGAAGCTTACCAGAATCTTAAGAGACTATTTTGGAGTACCATATTAGAAATTCAGAAAAAATTATTTGTTTAATATTCAGGTTTAAAAATCATTCCATATACATTATATCAGAACTTATAACTAAAGACCAATAAACTTGTGGATTATTACATTAAAAATAATTTTTTTTTAATGGAAATTTGATTAGATAAAAGAATAAACCCTACAAAATTGTGGAGGTCAGATTCTGATCAAGAAACTAAGTGGCTGAAAGTTCACTCTGAGAGCACCTTGCAAAGGCTTCTAAAACCCATAGAAGAGAGGCTTGAAAATATCTGCAACATGAAATGAACACTGGTGGCAAACTAAGTTGGTATATTTCTGGAGGAAAGTTACTTATTTGGCAGTTTGTTTTTATTTTATTTTATTATTTTTTAATTTCAATATGAAGTTTATTGTCAGATTGATTTTCATACAACACCCAGTGCTCATCCCAAAAGGTGCCCTCCTCAATGCCCATCACCCACCCTCTTCCTTCCTCCCACCCCCCCATCAACCCTCAGTTTGTTCTCAGTTTTTAAGTCTCTTATGTTTTGGCTCCCTCCCTCTCTAACCATTTTTTTTTTCCTTCCCCTCCCCCATGGGTTTCTGTTAAGTTTCTCAGGATCCACATAAGAGTGAAAACATATGGTATCTGTCTTTCTCTCTATGACTTATTTCACTTAGCATAACACTCTCCAGTTCCATCCACGTTGCTATAAAAGGCCCTATTTCATTCTTTGTCATTGCCACGTAGTGCTCCATTGTGTATGTAAACCACAATTTCTTTATCCATTCATCAGTTGATGGACATTTAGGCTCTTTCCATAATTTGGCTATTGTTGAGAGTGCTGCTATAAACATTGGGGTACAAGTGCCCTTATGCATCAGTACTCCTGTATCCCTTGGGTAAATTCCTAGCAGTGCTGTTGCTGGGTCATAGGGTAGATCTGTTTTTTGGCAGTTTGTTTTAAAGGTCTTTAGAAGGTTTGATCCTTTTGGTGTAGTAATTATGAGGAATCATCCTGAAGAAAGAATAGGAGATTCTTAAATTAAAGATGCTTGTAAACAAATGTCTTTCAAGAGTAGTGAAGAGCACGTTAAGTAAATTAATAGCCATATGATCCGAAACTGCAGTAGTTCTCCCTTGTCCGCGGTTCACTTTCTGAGGTTTCACTTACTGTGGTCAGCTGTGGTCCAGTTGATGATCCTGCTTGAGATACATCATCAGGTCAGTGATAGCCTAATGCTGCGACACTATGCTTATGTCAGCTCACTTCATTTCACTTCACCTCACTCACTTCATGTCATCACCTAGGCCTTTGATCATCTCACATCATCACAAGAAGCATGAGTGCAGTACAATCAGATATTTTGAGGGAGATACCCCATGCACATAGCTTTTATTACAGTATATTGTTGTAACTGTTACATTATTAGCTATTGTTAATCTTTTACTCTGTGAACATATAAAATTTTATCATAGGTGTGTATGTGTAGGGAAAAACAGTGTGTGTGTAGGGTTTGGCACTATTCATGGCTTCAAGCAGTTGCTAGGGGGCTTGGGACATATGTGCTGGAGATAAGGGGGGGACTACTGTATTGAAATTATGTTCTCGAAGAATTTTTGAGTCAGTAAATATGCTCATGATACAATATAAAGGGGAAGATATGTTAGTTACGAAAGCAGCCACTGCAGTTCTGATTTTGTATGTACACACACATATATGAATATATTTGTATATAAAAATACTGAAGAGTTAAAGCACAGTGTTCTGGCTGGTGAAATTACAAGTGAGTTTTATGTTCTGATGTGGTTCTCTCTATTTTTGAAATGTTGTGCCATGACCTCCTATTACTACTATACTAAGAAAAAAGCAAAGAAATGGGAAGGAAGCTAGAATGATGTCAGTTGCAGCTCTTGATGATCAAGGTGTAAAATCGCTGTCAGGTATGACAAGAAAGATTGTAGTTAAGACAGAATGTAGACAACGTGGTAAGACCACGGTAAGACTGTATACAGTAGTCTTTTTATAGGAACATCTGAGCTTTCTCTCTTTTTTTTTAGTCTTAAAAATTAGATCTTTAAAATAGTTATTGACTCAGATAGTGATGTTTACAACCTGAATGTAAGTCTGTAGGATCACTTTTTATGTGTTACATATGCTAACTGCACAAGAGTTTGAAAGATCTTAAAGACAGAGATGAGAATTTATTGCTACACGTCTAATGTGACAAGTAGATAGTTACCGCGTCAGAGAATTCTGGAAAATTTTCAGTGATTCTCTCACCCACAGGTAACCCTGGATGTGAAGGCTGGTAAATTACACTTCTGAATTTGACAGGCTTGTAAAATTTTGTGAAGTACAGCATAGCAGTGGTACACATACAAAGAAGCAAATCCTACTAGTAGATGGAGTTCTCAGCGGGTATCTGTAAGCAGATGGACAAGGGCCACATAACAGACATAAGTGAAGGATTTTCAAGAATCTTTGAGAAAGTTTTGTATATGGTGCTTCCGAAAGCTTATTTTCTGTTTTTTCCTTCTTTCCCCTTTAAACGTAACATTTATTTATGTTTTCATGTTGCCTTGAATTTAATTCACATTTTGATAATTCTTTAAGCACAAATAACATGACAGATACATTTAAAAAATGGATTTGGGGGAGGTCTGTATGCAGCTACTAAACTCTGTTGTAGCATAGGTTATCAGCACACTTTTTCTGTAAAGGGCCAGCAAGTAAATATTAAAGGCTTTGTGGACTTCATACAGTCTTTGTTGCATAGCTTCTCTGTTTTGTTCTTGTAAATCGTTCTTAGTCAAGGACTATCCAGAAAACAGGTTGAAGGTTGGATTTGATCCTTGGGCCATGCTCTAGTGTGTCTGATTGGGTCATTTTACTTGTCGGTTCAATCAGTACCAGTCATCAAAGCAAACCCAAGTCACCATTAGAATGGTGAAGAATGTTTTATTGTGAATTGAGACTCCCCTTAAAGCCAGAACACAATGGTTTGGGTAAATAGACTCCCTCTAAATACCCTGGATGTGTATTGATGGTAATAATGTATTCGGTATGCACAGGAACGCGCCTCTTTAGATGTAGTCAGACCTAGCACATGATGGATAGAATATTTCCTAACGTCCCCGAGAATATATTGGTCGTTTGCGAACTTTGACAGTATAAGCAGAATAGTGCTAATCACGAAAGCAGTGTCGAGGGACTTCACACCGATAGTGTACATTTTAATTGTAAAGATTGGACTATACTTTGACATGGTCGCCTTAACATTCCTTCCTTGAAAAAGGATTGAATGAAGCCTCTCAAAATTAGACAGGATATATTTTGGCTTGCGTTTGGATGTAGTAATCAAGTTTATCTTTTTATTTTCTTTACTTTAAAGAAAGGGATGGTTTTTCAAAGCAGGCCAGAAATTAAGATTTCTTTTAATGTTAAGTTTTAGAGTGAGTTGTGTGGAGGTGGTAAGGATAATACTTCATTTCAGTTAAGTTTTGGAAAATGCTTCTGAGTTCCTGCGAGATTAAAAACAAAGTATTTCTCTTGTCTTCAGCTCCGTGTTGATATGCATTCATTAAGTTATGATTCTACCTTGAAGTGGAATCCACTTGATTCTTAGATAAACATTTTCAAAAGAAATTGGCTTTGGCTAACGTAATTGTGCCCATTAAAGTGTGTGCGGGCCCAGCCTGATCAGGTTGTTGTGGCTTCTCAGTGCTGGCAGCTGGCACGACAGGCCTGGTATGTGGACGCACATTTCATCGTTCAGATGGATGAGGCGAGGCACCTGTTGGGCTCGCCTCAGCAAACCCAGGTATTGGCTTATTACCTTGGTTGATTTTTGTTATCATTCATTTAGTCAGAAATCGTGTAAAGTGAAATTCTCTGTATAGCACTGAAATTCTTTTAAAGAGAGAGAACTGTTCTTTTCAGCTGTTTCTTTTCAAGAGAGAGAACTGTTGCTAAGGTTGATCGAGCCGTATTTCTTGTAGCTAGGTATGATGTGAAATTGGTCAAAATTTGCATGCCTGCTATTCTGCCATTTCCCAAAAGGCGAGGAAGTGTGTAAGCTTTAAGGCGGATTTCAAAATGTGGCAAGCATTAATGGCAAGATGGGTTTTCTTTTTATTAAGAAATATCTTTTTAAATTGTAGGATATATTTTGTTTTTAAGGTGTTTCTGAATTATTCAATCTTAAAAATACGTTACTTTAAATACCTAAGCTTACTATCGTAACTTCATCAAAATACATTTTATTAAAATAATAAAACCCATTTTTGATATTTTATTTAATTTTATTTTTAAATGTTTTTTGTTTTTGTTTTTTTTGAGAGAGTGGGCACAAGTGGGGGAAGGGCAGAGAGAGGGGGACAGAGGATCCGAATCGGGCTCCATGCTGACAGCAGAGACTATGATGCGGGGCTCAAACTCATGAACCCTGAGATCATGACCTGAGGCGAAGTCGGAAGCTTAACCAATTGAGCCACCCAGGTGCCCCTAGCCTGTTAATTTTTTGGAAAATTAAATCTTACTAGCTGTAACTTCTACTAGAAAGTCTATGTCGTTTTAGAGAGACATATGCTTTAAAATAGAACAGGGAGGCGCCTGGGTGGCTAGTGGGTTGAGCATCTGGCTTCGCTCAGGTCATGATCTCACGGTTCGTGAGTTCGAGTCCCACGTTGGGCTCTGTGCTGAAAGCTCAGAGCTTGGAGCCTGCTTCAGATTCTGTCTCCCTCTCTCTGCCCCTCCACTGCTCATGCTCTGTCTGTCTGTCTCTCTCTCTCAAAAATAAACAAACATTAAAAAAAATTGAACATATGATGTACCTTCTGTGGGAAGAGCTATATTTCTTAGTACTTTTATTTTCCAGAGAGCCGATTTAAAAAAAGGTAAGGAGGAACAAACACGCACTGTTTTCTGGGTTCTGTTAAGGATACTTTCCCAGTCTGCCGTATTATATTATGGTTGTTATATTAACCTGTTTTGTTAATAAAAAGAAAAAAAGGACAGGTGAACATAGATTTTATGTAAACTAGAGAGTGTAGTATACTTTTATTTTTATTTTAGGACTGATTTTTATGTGAATCTTAGTGCACGTTCTACTCTTTAAGGAGCCAAATGTAACTAGTTAACATACAAACTATTTCTTTAAGTTATCACCCTACTTTTCTAGTTTGCATCTAGTGAAATATGTGTAGAGAATGAGAAAAATATAATGTAATTTTTAATAATTCCACACATGCACATGGCAAATTCTGCTAGAATTCATTTGTTATTCATATAAAGCCACATTTTTGAATACTAACTTTAGTATGTAGTTACGTATGTTTGTGTAGTCTTATGTGTTCTATTTAAAAAAAAATTTTTTTTAATGTTTTTATTTACTTTTGAAGGAGAGAGAGAGCATGAGCAGGGGAGGAGCAGAGAGAGAGGGAGACATAGAATTTGAAGCAGACTCCAGGCTCCTAGCTGTCAGCACAGAGCCCGACACGGGGCTGGAACTCACGGACTGTGAGATCATGACCTGAGCCGAAGTCGGACGTTAATTGACTGAGCCAGCCAGCCTCCCGTTATGTTTTTTATTTTTAAATTACTATTGGAACTTGTAAACTCCTGTTATTTATTACATGCACAAATAGCTATTCATATGTGTTATTTTTCTTAAAGGTTTCTCTAACAATATTTCTCTTCCCTTATACTTTGGAACTTTAAAGTATGTAAATGGATATTCAAATTTTTAAAATAATTTTTTAATTAATTCATTTTTGAGAGACAGAACATGAGTGGGGGAGGGGCAGAGAGAGAGAGGGAGAGAAAGAATCCAAAGCAGGCTCCGGGCTCTGAGCTGTCGGCACAGAGCCTGAGGCGGGGCCCCGAACCCACGAACCGGGAGATCATGATCTGAGCCAAAGTCAGACGTTAAGTGACTGAGCCAGTCAGGCGGCCCACTATTCAAATTTTTAATACAGTGTTTTAATTAGATTTGTTTTCCTAATATTGTAAGCAGATGTTTCCATTAAGGAGATGTTCAATATTTTTAAAAAGTTTCTTTTTCCTTTTTTCCTTAAGAATTTATAAGACGTTCTCGGCATCATGTATTCAAAAGAAGATTTGAAAAGAAAACAGTTCAGCAGTACCATTAAAAAGTAGCTTTTTCCAAAAATGGATGTATAGATTTTAGAACAATTTTTTTATTCACGTATTTTAAACTTTCCTAAGAATAAGTAGAAAATGTCCTTCCCTCTTTTGCTGCTTTGTCTTCTCTCTCACAGCACCGTTTCAAAATGGCAAGGGAGGAAGCTGTCAGTTCAGATCTTTCTTTCAATTGTTTCTTGACCATGTAGATCTTGATTCCCTGCCTTATTTGACACACATATTCTCTCTCACGCTCACGTGCACACGTGGGAGTGCAAGCGAGTGTGCTCGCCGTTGTGTAATAAGCTAGGCTTTACCCTCTCCTCCCATAATTCCTGCCTGACAACTGTCTCAATGTGGTCACGAACAGAAAGTTTCTTCTGGATTGTATTTGTTAATAGCACTGAAAGAAAAAAAGTCCATTGTAGTTTCCACATAGCACATTTCTTACTGGCTTTAGGTGATTTTAGTTTCAGTGGTCCCTATGGTATGTTTAAGCAGATTTTCATATTAATATAAAATACTTCATTTTATTAAAATATAGTTAGCTTTATCTTAAGTGTTCAGGTGTTAAGAATGTTCGTATTCAACTAAGTACGTGTCTTTATGTAACTTGGGTGAGAGTTTATTCGCTTAAAGTTTTGTTTCCAGCACGGATTAAAGGCAGATAAGTAGTATATGTATATAATTTGTAGCTTGATGGAGTGGAATTGATAATGATGAAGTTTTATGTTTTTGTATGTTTAAATTTGATTTATTCTACTCTTTTAGTTTTTATGTTTTTGATATATAAAATATTCAAACTCCTTTTCTACTTATGCTTTAGGTTCAACCTTAAAGTGCAATTGCAAATTCTAGCAAGCTTCATGCTTACGGGAGTTTCTGGAGGCGCAAAGTATGCTCAGAATGGACAACTTTTTGGTCGCTTTAAGCTTACTGAAACACTTTCTGAAGATACTTTGGCTGGACGGCTGGTGATGACCAAAGTCAATGCTGTTTATTTATTACCAGTCCCTAAAGAGAAGTTAGTACAGACCCAGGGAACCAAAGAGAAGGTTTATGAAGCTACTATTGAAGAGAAAACAAAAGAATATATATTTTTAAGGATATCCAGGGAATGCTGTGAAGAACTTAATCTTCGGCCTGATTATGACACACAGGTGTGTTTCGATGTGGGGCAACTTAACTGTGGTTGTCTTAGTGTCCTTGTTTTCATTCCTCTGCCGTCATGAGAAGTGCAGTTGACTTTGAAGTGTTATAGTGGCTGGTGGAGAATTGGACCTTAAAACCAGTTGTCTTTATCTAAGTTCCAGTCTTATACAAGGCCAAACTTTCTGATTAGAGTTTTGTTTTATTTTATATGTTTTTTTAAGTTTGTTTATTTATTTATTTAAAAAAAATTTTTTTTTTTCAACGTTTATTTTTGGGACAGAGAGAGACAGAGCATGAGCGGGGGAGGGGCAGAGAGAGAGGGAGACACAGAATCAGAAACAGGCTCCAGGCTCTGAGCCATCAGCCCAGAGCCCGACGCGGGGCTCGAACTCACGGACCGCGAGATCGCGACCTGGCTGAAGTTGGACGCTCAACCGACTGCGCCACCCAGGCGCCCCTAAGTTTATTTATTTTGAGAGAGAGAGACAGAGAGAGAGAGAGAGAAAGAGAGAGAGAGAGAGAGAGAGAATCCCAAGCAAGCTTCACACTGTCATCGTGTAGCCCAACGTGGGGCTTCAGCTTATGAACTGTGAGATCGTGGCCTGTGTGGAAATCAAGTGTTGGACGCTTAATCGACTGAGCCACCCAGGCGCCCTGAATTGTATTTTATGTATTTCTTTTTTTTTTTAATGGATATTTTATTTTTTTTAATTTTTTTTTTTCCAACGTTTATTTATTTTTGAGACAGAGAGAGACAGAGCATGAACGGGCGAGGGGCAGAGAGAGAGGGAGACACAGAATCGGAAACAGGCTCCAGGCTCCGAGCCACCAGCCCAGAGCCCGACGCGGGGCTCGAACTCACGGACCGTGAGATCGTGACCTGGTTGAAGTCGGACGCTTAACCGACTGCGCCACCCAGGCGCCCCTGGATATTTTATTTTTAAGTAATCTCTACACCCAGTGTGGGGCTCGAACTCACAACCCCCGAGATCAAGAGTTACACGCTCTACCAACTAAGCCAGCCAGGCAACCCTGGAATTTTAAATCAGCAGAAGAACAAATTAAAGGAAGCTAAGCTACATCCAGGGACACTTCTCACCTGAGGTGGTTCATATTCTCTTCTCTGTATGGTTTTTTTGGTGAACATGTTTTCACTCTGCCCTAGTTAACCAGAAAGCTAATCATTCACTCATTCATTTGTTCATTTATTTTTTTATGTAAGTAGGCTCCATGCCTAGTGTGGAACCCAACACGGGGCTTGAACTCAAGAGTTTGATATCAGGACCTGAGCTGAGGTGAAGAGTCTGATGCTTAACCGCCTGAGCCACCCGGGCGCCCCTCTTTTTTAAAATTTTCTTCCTTTCTTTCCTTTTCCTTTTTATTTATTTAATTTTTTTTTTTTTTTTTTTTTTTTTTTACATTTACTTATTTATGAGAGACAGAGAGAGAGCGCAAGCAGGGGAGGGGCAGAGAGAGGAGGAGACACAGAATCCGAAGCAGGCTCCAGGCTCTGAGTTGTCAGCATGGAGCCCAATGCGGCATGAACCATGAGATCACGACCTGAGCCGAGGTTGGATGCTCAACTGACTGAGCCACTCAAGCACCCCCTTTTTCTTTTAAAACATAAAATTTGGTGAATGTTATTTATTTGTAGTAAATTGATAGTGTCCTATGCTTGGTTTTTATCACTTGAAAGCTGATATTTCACATATGTTCTACTGATTTTATCAAATATGTTATTAATAGGAATATGGTGGAATCAGATAACCTTTATTTAGATATGAAGTAATTCACAAGCACTTCACTTTAGAGGTTAAAATGAGGTTAATAATGATATATACATCATTGGTACTACTAAATGAGATCATTTATGTAAAGTGCATAGTAAAGCAAATATTAGCCATAATAATTTATTAAAGTCTCATTACATTTAAAAGAATCTCTAAACTTGGCTTCCCTTTAAAGGTTATCTCCACAAAGTTTTCTAGCAAACAAGGTGCAAGTATTGATGTTTGTGTTAATGGTTGTTTGTTTGTGTTAATGTGTTTTTTTGTTTTTTTTTTTTAATTTTATTTTGTGTTTCAGGTTGAACTTCAGTTTCAATTAAATCGATTACCCCTCTGTGAAATGCATTATGCACTAGACAGGATCAAGGACAATGGGGTTTTGTTTCCAGACATCACTATGACTCCAACCATACCTTGGAGTCCCAACAGGTATAAAAAAGGAGATGCCTCCTTAAAGGAAGTTATGTTAATCTTATGTTGAACATCTGTATCAAATAATGTCAATATAGTTTTATAAGAGAATTTGCTATAATCTCCAGGCACCGTGTTCTAGTTGAGAAAGGAGAGTAAAAGAGCCCTTAGAAGGGAACATTTGGGATTGGTCATGTATTTTCTTCACTTTTTCTCAGTGTCTAAATGAGTTCTATCGTTTTTCTCAACAACCTTAATTTGACAGAATGCCAAGCAATTCAGGAATATTTTTGAGTAGAAGTTGAATAGGAAAATTAGGACTTTTTAAAAAGTGGTTCAAGCAGTTAATTTAAAATCATTTTTTCATATAGGAGGCCTTTTTATAATTTAAGAAAATGGAGAAAGTATCACAGAAGATAATATTTCTGAAACTGCTCTCAGGTTAATGGTTGTATAAATATTTTCCTGCTTAAATTCACTTTGGTGCATCTTCACGAGTATCTTTTTATTTACTTGAGAGAGAGAGAGAGAGAGAGAAAGAACTAAAGGAGCAAGAGAGAGGTAGAGAGAGAATCTCAAGCAGGCTCTGCACCATTAGCGTGGAGCCCGATGCACGACTCAAACTCATGAACCGTGAGATCATGACCTGAGCCAAAATCAAGAGTTGGATGCTTAACCAACTGAGCCACCTGGGTGCCCCTTCATAAATATCTTTATAGTGATAGTTCTAATTTGTTTCCATACGAACAGTGACAGACGCATGAGTGCATCTTTCTCTTCGTCCTTTTCCTTGGATTTTTATCCTCCTGGCCCCTGCTGATGCCCTATTCATTCTACCTTTCTTTTCCTTTTCTTTCTTTTTTAATCTCAGTGGCTCTCCGCAATAGAAGTGTATTTATTTACTACTCATGTCACTCCAGTCATGGTTGGGCAGCCCGGTTCCATCACTGATGGAGGATCTGGTGTCTTCAGTACGTGGTTTCCAAGGTTTCACCCTGCATGTTGACGTCCAGCTGACAGGCAGGGAAAGAATGAGCACAGGATCATGTGGGACATTTTTATGGGCCAGGCCTAGAAGTGGCATATATCTCTTCCCCTCACGTTCCATTTCTTTTGATTCTAAAAAGAGAACAAAGCACACCATGCCTCACAACACACACACAAAATTATTTCTCCCTTGTTTTGCTTACCTTCACTATCCCTTTTCCATTCTTTTTTTTTTCACTGCCAAAATTCTCAAGCAGGAGTCGTTTATGTTTCTGCTATTCTTATATACTTACCCTGTAATCTCTGTTTTTCCCTTCCTCACTCTCCTGAAAGCAATCAGTGATCTACTAATTGTAAAAATCCAGTCTTCTCAATTCCCATTTGATTCATCTTTTCTCTACCCTTCCCCCTCCATCCATTCTTACAGTCAGTGTATAATTTAGAGCTGGACTATGTCAGTAGCCTTCTAGTCGGTCTTCTGTCCTGCTGGCTGTGTTTCCGTTCTCTCTGGTCCAGCCCACACGTTTCTTCCAGTTAGTTTGCTAAAATAATCATTTCGTTTCACTGCTTACAAATCTCTGAAGGCATCTCCTTGTTATGTTGATAGTTTGCGCAGCTGAACACCAACCCTTTATGTGGTTCCATTGGCAGGGTTTTCCAACAGTAGCTTCAGATTTCTTTTATTTTTTCTACTTGACACCTCCTTTCTCCCTCTAAACCCCCATGTCCTAGCTGGATTGAATCGCCTTGAAGTTTGTTTAATTGGCCCTATGCTTAATTTCTTACAAATTAAAAAAAAAAAATTGTAAAAGTTACATAACACAAAACTTGCTCTCTAGACTTTTTTTTTTTTTTTTTTAACCTTTAGGGGGAGAGATAGAGGATAGAGATACATCGCACAAGTGGGGTGGTGGGGGGAGAGAGAGAGAGAGAGAGAGAGAGAGAGAGAGACAGAGAATATGAATCTTCAGCAGGCTCCATGCTTAGCATGGAGCCTGATGCAGGGCTGGATCCCACAACCCTGAGATCATGACCTGAGTGGAGATCAAGAGTTAGACGTTTAACCGACTGAGCCACCCAGGCGCCCCCCCTGCCCCCATACCACTGTAATTTAAATAGTAACTAAACGGTAACTGAGGGTAGGAACATACCCAGAAGCCATTAGCCATTTAAAATCTTTTCTGGGGGGCGCCTGGGTGGCGCAGTCGGTTAAGCGTCCGACTTCAGCCAGGTCACGATCTCGCAGTCCGTGAGTTCGAGCCCCGCGTCGGGCTCTGGGCTGATGGCTCGGAGCCTGGAGCCTGTTTCCGATTCTGTGTCTCCCTCTCTCTCTGCCCCTCCCCCGTTCATGCTCTGTCTCTCTCTGTTCCAAAAATAAATAAACATAGGAAAAAAAATGCTTTTAAAATCTTTTCTGGGATAAGGTGGAATATAGATAAATGAAGTTGAGAAATTATTCTTGAGCATGTGGTCTCTGAAGTAAATGTAACAATGCATTAGACCAGGGGGAAAAGGACATTGGATTAGTTTAGTTCAGGGATTAAATATTTTTTATTCAGAATAAACTTGAACAGACTGTCTTCCTTTAAACTGTGAAAATCAGAGATAATTTGCATGTGTATTGTAAGTCCTCTTCCCTTTATTGAGCAGGTGGTGTAATAAAAGACAACTTGTTGGACTCATGGACCTTCTTCATTCATGACCAGAAACTGTAGAAGGGACTGACATTGATGGTTTCTTATCTGACATGAAGCATTTGTTTACACTAAAGCAGTTGATGAGTAGAATGGGCTATATAAATAAAATACAGAGGAATTGTATTTGAGAACTGTACCCATAAATCTGTCATCAATCCCTTAGATTTATACTTTTTTATTTAACCTACTGTTTGTCTCATTTATAAGGTCATTGAAGTCATCAAATATGAAGAACTGGAGGGTGTTTTTAAAATTTGTGTTTGTTTTTGAAAGTGTGTATTAGCCAAGTAACATCTCTCAGTAGACGTAGTAATAGAAGCTAACGTTAATTGAGCACTCATTGCTCAGTTATTTCCCTAAACAGCTTGCACGTATTCTCATTTGATCTTAGAATGACCATCTGATGCGCATATCATTATTTCCCTGTATAGATAATTGGGGATAATAGCCATTGGGGTCAGGTATGAATGCAAGTAACAGCTTACTGAACTAACCGTGGCTTAAACAGGTAGAGAAAGAGGCCCAGAGGTAGGTGGTCTAGGACTTGCAAGGACTCTGTAGTACCGTCAGGGACCCAGGTCTCACCTCCTCTGCGCCATAGAGCATGTTGGTTTCCTTCTTGATGTCCATTACCTCTTGATTATGAGATGGCAGCTGCAGTTTTACTTACCACGAGCTCATTCCAGCCAGGTGAAGGAGGAAGCCAGAGGAGCAAGAAGGGCTTTCTTCTGGTGAGGCTTTGTTTGTGTTCTATTGAGTACAGAAGCCCTTCTGAGGTACCTCTTCCTATACCTCATTGGGCAGAATTGGCTATTTAGCAGAGGAGGCTGAGGAATGGAGTGTCCTAGCTGTCTAGGCTCAGCAGTAGAGGAAGGCAGAGGGGATGCCATGGATGGTTTGGGGTAACCATTGCACAGTTCTCTCTCTAGATTGGATCTGGGCTTAGTGATCACCAAAAGTAATTTCCTCTTTACAGAAAATGGAACACTGCTATGTTCTGGCAGAATTATGAGTCACTAAGCTGTTTAATGATGAGAGATGCTTTGGAGTAAAAAGCTTGAGCTTTAGTGGACAGTTGCCAGGAAAACTAGTGCCACTGGTCAGAGTTCTTTTGTTTTTACTTAAAAATATTAAATTCCGGAAAAGTAAGTAGTGATGTGTTTATATAGTCAACGTTTATTTCCTAAGGTTTTACATTTCCTAGGAGACCTTCATTTGTTTGAAATTATCTGTCTGAATGGAGCATCAGTTACAATTTTTTAAAACTGAAAGTGTTAAGATTTTCCATGAATTACTCGGTTCTGATATAAGTGGAGTATAGCCTCTGAGAGAAGGAATTTTCCTCTAAACCATGGTCTCCTATTGCAGGATTATTTTGTAGGCACTTTGATTGTGAATTTTCTAAGAGTCTCTTTACATGCCCGTCCTATTTTGGTTCACATCCCTAGCATTTTTGCCATAGTTGTTGCAATATTTAGTATTTTAATTGTAGTTGTGAGAAAGAATGCTGTTGATTCTCTACTTGGTTTGATCCCTTTCAGCATCTGCTGTCCATTTAAATCTTCGAAACTTAGCCAAGTCGTAGAAGGGACGCTCATAAGATAGATCTCATTACAGCAGCCATTTGTGCTACCATGACAGGTGTTCTCTACCCTGCAAAGTAGGACATATATATATTATGTGGGAAAATATTAGAAAACAATTCGTATTGTTTGGCTTTTGATATCTTTTTTTAAAAAACTGCTATTTTCTGAATTCGGAACTTTGTGACATTTGAGTATCTCTCAACCAAGGACGTAGAAGTTTTTTCTTTGCCTCTTGTTTTAAACTTCACTAAAGAAATCTTTCCGTGAACTAGAATTTGAAATTCGGTTCATCTCCCTTTTGCATTTTACTTGCTAATGTGAAGAAACTAATACTTCTTTATTACCAGAAAAGTTTTCGGATACCTTTATGTAACGGGGAAATTACATTTTTGAGCCATTGCCATTACTATTTATAGACATGGCAGCAGCTAGACTTGTGTGCTTTCTAAAGTTATCAGAATCTTTCTGCACTTGGAATAGGACAAAGTAATTAAAGTGAGTTTTGATCAACAGCCTGTGCCAACTCTGTTGGGTAATTTTCTAAAAAGAAGTTATAGAATAAGCATTTGTTGTTACAGACACTGTTTCTTGAGTATTAAAAAAAAGTTGTTGTTTTTTTAATATTTTTGAGAGACAGAGCATGTGTGGGAGAGGGGCAGAGAGAGGGACACACACACACACACACACACACACACACACACACCCACGCCCAAAGCAGGCTCCAGGCTCTGATCTGTCACCACAGAGCCCGATGCGGGGCTCCCAACTCACGGACTGTGAGATCATGACCTGAGTTGGAGTTGGACACTTCACTGACTGAGCCACCCAGGCGCCCCTGTTTCTTTAGTATTTTTAGTGGTTCCATAAAATTAAGCATCCTCTTGTGTTTTGTTTATTAAAAGATGCATGTGTTTAAAATAAATTTTTATTTCCTATAGACAGTGGGACGAACAATTGGATCCTCGGCTGAATGCAAAACAGAAAGAGGCTGTTCTGGCCATCACAACTCCTCTTTCAATCCAGCTGCCTCCCGTCCTCATCATCGGGCCCTATGGGACAGGCAAAACGTTCACTCTAGCTCAGGCCGTCAAGCACATACTCCAGCAGCAGGAGACGAGGTGAGATGGTGCTATGTGTGCTCCGATTTCATTAGGAGGGCACAACCTCTGTTCTTGTTGTGAATGCAAAGCTAAGACAATTTTTAATTCAGCTTGGAAAAATTGGAAAAAAAAAAAAAAAAGACCCACACCAAAACCCCAAAGGACTAAAATTTGAATTCTTTCAAAATATACAATTTCAAAATACACAATTTTAAAAATTGGCAATGTAGAGAATGATAGCTTTTAAGTAGCCATCAAAGCTCCAAGACTGCTAAGGAATTGTGATATATGCTAGAGCCAGACGAGTTGGGCATGTAAAAAACATTTCGTGTGATAGATTTAAAAAATGATTTGGGGGAACCAGTTTCCTCGACAGCTTAAAGAGTAGTACAGTTTCCTAAAAACATCACTGAATGATATGTAGACAAGACTGAGTAGGCTGAGGGGAATGTGTAATGTTAAGATGGCCGCTGCTTTTGTTTGGTATTCTACTGCTTGAATAGCTTTGTGTTTTATCATTCTTTTTATTTGCACCGTTTATTTCAGCAGGATTCTCATTTGCACCCATTCTAATAGTGCTGCTGATCTCTACATAAAGGATTATTTACATCCATATGTAGAAGCAGGCAATCCCCAGGCAAGACCTCTCAGGTATTTTTTTAAGGCTTATTATGTATCTGTATCATACTTTGTTATTCTTAAGAAAAGGTGTCTGTAAAGATTTTAGTAACTTCGAGAATACAAAATCTTGAACTGTGTATTGGCATTTGGAGGTTATGCCTTTTGAAGAAGCCATTTAAAATTAAGGAAAAATTAAAAAATTTTCGACCATTCATTTCGTAAACATTAAGCAAAGAGAAAGACATCCTTTTTTAAGTTTTGTATGTAAAAATGTTGAGCAGATTTTGATGTGTACCTCTAAAAGCTACTATGATGAAATAATATAAATATGATTTGTTTAAATCAAATTTAATTAAAATTCTAGCATAGTTTGCATGGCAGAGTAGTCATGCAGTGGTCATAAGATTTTGACTGTGATCATGCAGGTAATTTCATAGGAATTACCCATTAGAGACACATGAAATACTGAAATGATCTCTGTAACAAAATGTAACTGACTGGTATTTACAACTTTTTGCTATCTTGTAAGAGACAAAGTGTAGAAGAAACGTTTACGTTGATATAGAAAGGTCCTTTTGAGTGTATATGGATATAAAATGTACTTAAACACAGATTGTGGGGGAATAAAATCCTTTTCTTCAGAAAACAATAAAGAATCATTAAATGGTTGTTTCTTACACCATTTGCTTTCATTGTTATATGAATTAATGTTTAGTTTTGCCATTTTACAAACTAATATGTCATGCCCTGTGTTGTTTGAATACAATTATTGTTTATCAGTTAATTTCTAACCACACTTTTGAATCATAATCCACTAACTTTTTATTTCTAGTTGAGTCCAGGCATGGAAAAATGAGATTATGCTATTTAATTCTTAATAAGCACAACCAAAGCCATTTGAATGATTTTACAATTGCATAAAAAAGAATAAAAGAGAAAAATGTGGTGTGACCTGCTAACACAGGGTTTTATGCCATACTTTGTTTCAACTCTGGAAGATAAATTAGAGCAGAAGTAATCCAGTAGAACCCGGTTGTATTTAATAAGAAAACATCACCTATATATAATCACTGTAAATGAAAATGAAAATGTGGTATTTATCAGTGGATAAGTTCATCAGTACCTATTTTGTTTCAGATTTGAATCTTTTTTAGTCATAAGTGAAAACTCAGTAGTGAGTAGCAGTTTTGCTCTGAGTGTCCTTACTTTAGTGGAGGTGTTTGTTTTGTTTGCTTTTATTGTTGGTGTGTGTGTCTGTTTATGTTTGTGTATGTATGTGTTATATGGGGATGGTGACAACCTCAATTATCATGGTGTACTTGACTTAGAAACAGTGGAGGAAAGCCCCCTGGAATCTTGATTGACCTAGGATAGGTCATTTGATATTTGGGGCAGAAGAGCCCCACCATGTGACTAGCATTGTGTTTAGCTTTTCTCATGTAAAGTAATGTTTTGGAGGTTATCATCCACATAGCACATTGAAATCTGTAGAATAAGAAGTTCTGTTTCAATAGGGTCTGTATAGTTGTAGTGGTCCACAAACAGAAACTCGCCTCTAGCAGAAAATCTCACCTCTCCACACATCTCAAGAGTGGTTCAGTCAAAAAGCTTGAAAAATATCTAAATATAAATTTCAAATTATTTTATTTAGTAAATGGGGTAAAATAAGAAAAGTCTTGACTTTCGTAATAAGTTTCTTTTTGTGGCCCTACATTTTTACCATAGTTTTTCTCTTTGGGAAAGGTGTTAACTTGTAAATGTAGTTCCTAGGAGGATAATGCATTGAATAATTAAAATTTATTAGTGCCATCTGTTACTACATTAACTCAGATTAGTTTACAGTTGCCCTGCTAGACCTCAAACACGACAGGTTTGGGAGATGGGATAGAGGGCATTAGAATGGCTCTGGGGAGATTAGCTTTATCGGAATTGTCCCAGGATGCAGGGGAAAGAACACAAGAGGGCACCAAGTGTCTGTGTGTGACTTGGAAGATGTGCTGTCTCTATGATGTAAAAGTGTGTCTTCTGCACCGCGTAGTCTAGAGTGGGCCCTGGTAAATGCCATAAAGTGTGGAAATAGTCATAAGCATTAAATCGTTTAATTCAGTCAGTATGTTTAAATATAACACACTTTTATGGTTGAAATGTATAACATTCAGTATTACGTGCCAGGAGTTGAGCTTAAGATATTTGGGGATGGAGGTTTTAGAAGCCATTTTTGATTACATTTTGTTTTGGTTTTTATTTCTTACTTCATTAGAATTAATAGACTTTGAGATGGAAGAGAGAGGAAAACACAGTATCTGTGTGTGGTTCTGCTGATCAGTGTCTGGTTCTGCCAGATTACTTAGTAGATCGAGGTCCTCTGTGGAAAGTGTATATTTATTGCTTTCTGGGCAAGTGGAAGGTATTTATTGTTTTATATAGATTTTCAAAGTAATAGATTTTATTCTGGGATCAAGTCTTTCTGATTCTGTAGTGTCTTGAGTAATAACATTTTGCTGGGTTGTTTATTGCATATGAATTTAAAACATGAATAAAATTTCAGTGAATTAAGATTATGTATTACCAGACAGTCTCCTGCTGCACATAATTCATGTGGGATCCCTGGATGGTTTGTTTCTAGAAGTCTGTAAATTACTTAGTTGGTGTCATATTGCATACTGTGAGCTTGAATATGTCACTTGTCACTATTCTCCAGTTTTGAAAATGTTGGGTGTATTTTTTTACAGTTTGTTTAGTCATTTTGAGAGAGAGAGAGACAGAGGATGCAAGCAGGCAAGGCGCAGAGAGAGAGAGAGAGAGAGAGAGAGAGAGAGAGAATCCCAAGCAGGTGCTGCATTGTCAGTGTGGAGCCCGACGTGGGCCTCGAACTCACAAACCGTGAGATCATGACCTAAGCTGAAACCAAGAGTCATATGCTTAACCAGCTGAGCCACCTGGGCGCCCCTGTTAGGTGTGTTTTAGATAATCCTATAGACAGTGTCCACCTTAACTGTTGCGCAAAATGAAAGTACCAAGAAAATGTTTAAATCGTTTTGAAGTCAGCACTAGAATATTGTACTTTTAAGGAAATACAGGCCTAATGATCAAACTTTGTCTTTTTATTAGCTTCAACATGAGGTGGCTTTCCAAGGTAACTGTAAAAAAAGTCAGTAGTGAGACTTAGAACTTCAACAATTTTTTATTTTTTCTTTGAGGGAGAAGTGGTACTTGGCATGAGTTTTGATGAATAATTTGAAAAACCATTTTTCCAATTTTACCATGGAAAGTATGGAAAATCTAGAAAACAAGGAAGAAAATAAAAATTATCTATAATCTCACCACACAGAGATAAATACTAATAACATTTTGGAGTTTAGTTTCTAGTAATTTATGTGTTTAAACACGTATTTTAGTTAATATTAATGGAATCAGAATTTGTAAATGATTTTTTATATAATTTGTAAAATGAGATTTTTCATATATTTAAAAGTAAATTCTGCTTTGTTGATCTGATTAAACATTTTTTATTAAAACCTAAAATATGTTGTTGAACATTTTTACATATTTTAGAAGTGATATTGGTTACTCTTACCAAGTTTATAGTCCTTCCTATCCAAGTAATGTGTTGTTGTTGTTTTAAGTTTATTTATTTATTTTGAGAGAGAGAACGCACGTGCGTTGGGGAGGGGCAGAGAGAGAGAGAGAGAGAGAGAGAGAGAAAATCTCTAGCAAGTTCTGCACTGTCATTGCAGAGCCTGATGTGAGGCTTGAACCCATGAACTGTGAGATGATGACCTGAGCTAAATAAAACCAAGAGTTGATGCTTAACTGACTGAACTACCCAGGTGCCCCCAGAGTAATGTTTTTAAAATACATTTCTTTTTTTTTATTTATAGAAATATTTATATATTTCATTTATACATATATAATGAATATATATATATATATATATATATTTCATTTATAGCACATGAGCAGGGGAGGGGGGCAGTGGGAGGAGAGGATCTTAAGCAGGCTCCATGCTCAGCGTGGAGCTCAGTGTGGGGCTCGAGCCCATGACCCTGGGATCATGACCTGATCCAGAATCAAGTCAGATGCACAACTGACTGAGCTACTCAGGCGTCCCAAAATATATTTCTTTACTTTTCTCTTATAATTTATACTTAGGATATTTATTAAATACCTTTTTTTGGGGGGGCGGGGCTTTGCTTTTCTTAAAAGCAATAACCAGTTCTAAGTGTTTCATAAAGAACACCTTTTAGAAGATCCTGAGATTAGGATTTGTGCATATTACATTTGAGCTGCCTTTGAAATATCCTAAAGGAGACAAGTGTTAAATAAAATGTTGGATAGCATCCTGGAGCTCAGAGATGAGGTCGTGGCTGGAGAGAGGAAAATGTGAGTTATTAGAGTATTTATTGGTGGTGATCAAAACCATTGGCCTGAGATCGTCAGGAGAAGAACAGAGGCCAAGAAGAGGAGTATGTGAAGACTAAGCCTGGAGGAGCCCTAACCCGGAGAGGAAGAAGGAAGGCAAGGAAAGGTTGAGTCATGGAAGCTAGGGAAGAGAGTGTTGTGGGGAGGGAACGAGCACAGAGCTGGCTGCTGCTAACACATCAAGTACCTTGATGGGCCTGGAGAGTGTCCGGAAGATTTAGTGACATGGACGTTTATGTCCCGTGATCAGACCCCACACTCTTGCTGAGTTCTTTCCTACTTCTTTGACTGCTTCTTGCCAGTTTCCTTTGCCGTATCCCTCTCCTTTTCCCATCAGTAATTCTCCCAACTAGTTTCTTTTTTAGCTACACTTCCTCTCCAACTGATCTCATGTAGTCCCGTAGTTGAAATAGTATCCCAGTTGTATAGGTCTTGTCCCAGATATTCTTCTGAACTTCAGACTTCTATATCCCCCTGCTTATTGGACATCGCCTGTGGATGTCTGCTACTGAATTTGTCCAAAACCAAATTCTCAGTTCCCACTTCAAATCTGTTCCTCAACTTTCACCATCTTTGTAAACACCACTGTCATCCATCCAGTTTCAAAGGCACAGAATCATACTGTCTTTTAAATTGCACATCTGGTTCACCAGTCAAGTCCTGTCAGCATTACCTTCAAAGTGTATAGTGAATCCAGCCATTTTCACATCTTCACTGTTATCATCGTGGGCCAGGCCGCCCTCTTTTCTCTTCCGGACCCTTGCAACAACCTCCTAACTGGTCTCCCTGATTCTCTCCCCTGCCCGTGCCTCTGCCCCGGTCAGTGGTGTATCGCAGCCCGCTTGTAGTGGCTTGTGAGAGCCAGTCATGTACGTGCCTTCCCGAGTTCATGTTCAGTGACATCATGTTGCTAGCTTGAAATTGGCCATGGTAGTAGATTTTATACTACAAAAGTCAGCAAACACTACACGTCAGCTCCACCCCCACCCTCCAAGCTGGCTGTTCAGCGTTTATGAGCACCCCACTGTCTGGCCTACAAACTACCTCCCCAAACAATATATTCCATACAGAGCAATAGAGTGGTCCTCTAACAACATAAGTCAGATTATGTGACTGCCCTGTCAGAACTCTCTGATAGCTTTCCATTAAAATCACAGTAAATCAAAGCTTTTATGAAAGCTTGCAAATCATGTGATTTGTCTCTGTGCTTCCAGCATGGTAGATCTTTGTTGTATGTGAGTCGGTTAGAGATGGGTGGTGGGAGGTGGGTGGATGGATGGATGGATGAGTCGTTTCTGTACCATTTAAGTAGTCTGTTGCATGAGGCCCATTATTTTTCTTTTGCGATTAATGGAAGAGATACTCTTTTTTTTTTTTTTAATGTTTTATTATTTTGAGAGAGGGAGCAGGGGGAGGGGCAGAGAGAGAGGGAGAGAGGAACCCAAGCAGGCTTCATGCTGTCAGCACAGAGCCCGACGTAGGGCTCAAACTCACAAACTGAGACATGACCTGAGCTGAGCCACCCAGGTGCCCCGAGATAATCTTTCTTAAGGTTTTCTGGTTGTCCATAATTTAAATTTATTTTTAAATGTCCTTTAGAACTTTAGATAGAGGTCTGTTTACATATAGGTGTAAATATATTCTGATGGGAAAAGCAGATAACTGTAGGTACACAGCTCACTGTTTTTTGTTAGCATAGATAATTGCAATATAAGTTAAGTATATTTTTATAAGAATATTCTAGAAAAAAAGTAACTCCCAAGGGGGAATGTTTTGAATTTTAAAAACTATAGTGCTTATGAAACTGCGTATCATTCTGCTGTAAGGTTAATCTGAACACTTAAAAATAAATACTTATTTTGTGATCGTGCATATGCTTTCTTCTTGAATCCTTTTTTGGTAGGGCAAAGTCACAGTTGTATGTTAAATTTTAATTCAGTAGAGTGTTAATGGTTATCGGATTTATTTGTGAATTTCCAGATACCATAGTCTTCACATAATAATGTCATTTTTTTTTTATAATGCTGGTAAGATGTTAATAAATATAAATAGGAAATATTGTCTTCTTTTATAGGGTATATTTCAGAAATCGCTGGGTTAAGACTGTCCACCCAGTTGTGCATCAGTACTGTTTGATCTCAAGCGCACATTCCACCTTTCAGATGCCACAGAAAGAAGATATTCTTAAACACCGAGTGGTGGTTGTTACATTGAATACTTCCCAGTACCTCTGTCAGTTGGACCTTGAACCTGGTATGCTGACTCAAGACACAGATAGGGTGTCCCTGAATGCGTGGGGCCTCTGCATTCAGTTTAGACCAGGGGTTGGCAGACGAATAGCCTGTGGGCCAAATCTGGCCTGTTGTCTGTTTTTGTAAATAAAGTTTCATTGGATGGAACACAGCCATGCCTGTTTAACTGTGTATTACCTATGGGTGCCTTTGTGCCACAGCAGCTGAATTGAGTAGATGAAACAGATTGTATGGCCAACAAAACCTAAAATATATACTGTTTGGCCCTTTACAAAGGAAAAAAAAAAAAAAGTCAACCCCTAGTTTAGACTTTTGAGTGACTACTGTTTTATTTGTTCTCTGATCAGGTGGCATTTACTTACTTCCAGTCATGTGAAAAATTCAAATTTGGATAGTAGTGCTTTTTACAATTTTCTCAAGTTTTTGTTGTAAAATACTTTCATAGTGTAGAGACAACAATCATGATAGATTTTTTTTTTTTTAGACATACTATTAAGATTATATTGAAGTACAGGAATCTGTAAAGTCAAGCTAATATTATATGAAGTACAGATACAAGGTGACAAGTAATTCCGATACATATGGCAGAACTTAACCATCAAAAAGTGGTACCACCTTAAGGTATTTGCTTTGGAAGGATATTCATTTATTGCTGCCATATTATCATGGTCAACATTGCTCAACACTTTTTTGCTCTCTCCTTTTGGAATTGCTTTCAGAGCCAGTGACAAATTCTTAGGAACCTTCAAGTCCCTGGAAAGTAGATACTGTTCTCTTCACCTTGAATTCCTGGCATCTGGCCCAGGGTATAGACACCTGGAGGCCCTTGATAAACCTCTGTTTATCTCAAGTGTATGAATGGTGGCCAGACTTTTTTTTTTTTTTTTTTTTTTTGAGCGTAGATTTAATTTTAGAAGAGCTTCAAAATCTTCCTGAGACATGTTTGGTAAATAAGGTAGGTGATCAAACTGAGCAATACCATTAGGGGTAAAAAAAAAAAAGAGAGAGAGAGAGAGAGACGTGCCTCTCATGTAATGAGACTTATTTTCTTGTGCACGCAGCTCATAGCTGGCTGGTGAGGGCAGTTACAAAAGCAGAGTTTCAAAAATGTTTTGAAAAGTGACTGCATCATTGGAATGAGTTCTATTTCCTCCCAACTGACTTCTTTGAATGGAACAACACTTATTTGAAATGTAAATTTTGGTATGTTTATTTAACAATCAGTCTCATTACTTTATGGTTCTACTCTGCCTGTGTGCCGCTTAGATGAAATGCCCAAACCTCCGAGGCAGTAGAGTTTTGTGAGAAAGTTAAGAAAGGCTTTGAAGAGCCAGAATGTAGAAGAACACTTACAAGTTGCCTGTGTGTTCTGTTCTGGGTGTTTATACCTGATTTCATTTCATTCAGCCCTGTGGAGGGAGGGTTCTTCTATAGATAAGGCTCTGGCTCAATTAATGTGATTAATTCAAGTTACCTTTACTAGCTTTTAGCAATAGCTATAACAGTTTCATGATTTATCCCATTGCTGATTCAAGCCTACCTCTGTTTAATTAAAACGTTATCTAATGAAAACAGTAGTTTTCAAGTAATTAGTTTTGTAGGACAAAAAAGCACAACGTCTCCTTAACAGGGCCCTGTATCATGTTTAGGCCACTGTCAGGAAATAGACAACAGTGATTGATACATACACTAACAACCATAGCCGTTTGTACGAGTGGATGATATGGGTGGCTATTACTGCCGGTCAGTACGATTTAGAAAGTTCCCAACCTAAAAGCAAGTTGCGTTAGAAAGTTGCATAAAAAGATAGTTTGGAACTTGCTGGTGTACATAGAAATAGAGGTTAGGTTCTTGGGCCCTCCTCACAGGCAGCTAGCTAATTAACCCAGCGAGTTTTATAACTTGTCATTTTGTTGAGAAACCATTTTGTTTCTTTGCTATGCTAATAAAAAGAAGACCCCCTTCTTCCTGCCTCGGTGTGTTGACAGTAGGGCAGAACATTTTCCTTCTCCACGTTGAGACCGTGAGGAGATTTTTGCCTCTTTCCGTCCTTAGGGGCAACAGGACTTTCTCTTCCTTTCTGTACTGGAATCCTGTGCCCCAGTGTGAGTGGCGGTGGCAGTCAAGACGTGGGATGTCTCCTGCTGTGGGGTTTGCATCTGGGGGACATTAGATAACATATGTTTGTGACCTTGACCTTTCACTTTTTGCACACTAGTGATTCCCCCTCCCCAGCCAGAGTAGGCTCTTAAGACTAAACAATTTTATCAGTCTGTCTAGCCACATATATAAACACATGAAACAAACCTAAATAATCAAATTAGTGAATCTGCTAATCAGTTACCCCCTCCCCTTTGTTTCAGTAAAGGTTAGATTATAACTTTCTCCCTTATATTAGATTTTAGGTATGATTTCTTTATTTTAATGTTTAATATGCATGGTAAAGCTAGAATTACTTATAAACTACCATTATTTTAGTTTCGATGTTTCACCACATAAATAGTGAGAAGACTATCAGTGTTTAGTTGCTGGTCCTTCTTTTTGGTGAAAAGCTGCTATCGTGTACTTTAAACATCTTTTTTATATATACTCCATCAACTGTTAATCTTGGGGTCCTTAGCATCAAATACCATTTCATATCTATTATTGGGTAAAATGGTTATTTCCTGTCCTCTCTGTTCTTTAAATAATGATTTTCTAAATTCAGGATTGGCTTAAAAGTACCCCTAACTCTGAAATCAGCACACTGAAGTCTTTCCTTAGCAGAAAAGAACAGAACTCCTGCTACCTTTATTGCTGTTTTAAATCTGCTTTACTGTGTTTATACTGTACTTTGTAGGGTTTTTTACACACATTCTGTTAGATGAAGCTGCCCAGGCCATGGAGTGTGAAACCATTATGCCTCTAGCGTTAGCAGCTAAAAATACGCGGATTGTCTTGGCTGGTGACCACATGCAGGTGCGTGCCCTCTGCGTCATCGTCGTGAAGGGACTTCTAATTACAATTTCCTGTTTAATATTCTGTTTTCTAAAACATCCCTTGAAATTGTGCCATCCATTACAGTTTAAGTACTTCATCCCACTGTTTTGGATCTGGAGTGGAATGGAGGAGTCTATCAGTGTTTATAATTTTCATGTTTTGAATTTAAAGTTCAGTTTTCTATAGGGTGAATAGAATAGAGTAGAATAGAATAGAAAAGAATAGAATAGAATTCTTTTCTTTATAAAATAAATTTTAATGATTCTTCCTACAGTTCCCCAATTCTTGTCCCTAACATTTGTTTTCATGAAGGGTTGATTTTTTTTTTCCCGCCATCATAGGGAACAAAGTACACCTAATTCAAAATAATAGTCCCAATCTCAAAGAATGTGACTAATTTTCTTTTTAAATTTTTTTTTTCAACGTTTATTTATTTTTGGGACAGAGAGAGACAGAGCGTGAACGGGGGAGGGGCAGAGAGAGAGGGAGACACAGAATCTGAAATAGGCTCCAGGGTCTGAGTCATCAGCACAGAGCCTGACGCGGACTCGAACTCACGGACCGCGAGATCATGACCTGAGCCAAAGTCGGATGCTTAACTGACTGAGCCACCCAGGCGCCCCTCAGCTCACCATTTTAAATAGCTGATCAATTTTAGTGAAATAACTCATTGACTCCCCCCAGTGATGCAATGGGTTGTATCCCTGAAGTTCCAGAAGTAGTAGCTGTTTATTATTATGTTGGAGGAGCCCTTTGTTGACTATAGGCTACTGTTGATAGAATGAAGTGAAAAGTTAGAAATTTTAGCCAAGTTCTGTACAGTAGTAAAATTGTTCAGAGAAAATATTTTTGATTCTGCTTATTCCAGCATTGAGATTGAGTACATCAGAAGTTTCAGCATAATGGACTTTTTATAAGTAGGTTATTACAAATACTACTTGTGTATTTAGTTAAATTTTCTCTGTATGTTTGTCTGTTACAGCTCAGTCCTTTTGTTTACAGCGAGTTTGCCAGGGAGAGAAACCTTCATGTGTCATTACTTGATCGACTCTATGAGCATTACCCTGCCGAGTTTCCGTGTAGGATCCTCCTGTGTGAGAATTACCGCTCCCATGAAGCTATCATCAAGTAGGTGTGAACTGCCCCTTCTGTGTCACCCTTCTTCTGGTGTGGTAGAGGAGAACTCAAAATGGCACCGTTACTAGGGACAGTCTATTCCCAGCACAGTTATATGGTGTCCCCAGTGTTGGAAATTACGTTAAATTTTATTTCTGTAACAGAATACCTCAAAAGTCAGCTGCAATTTTTCACAAAGTAGGGCAGTCCTGGAAACTACAACTTTATTTATTTATTTTTCTTTTCTTTTCTTTTCTTTTCTTTTCTTTTCTTTTCTTTTCTTTTCTTTTCTTTTCTTTCTTTCTTTTTTTTTTATATGAAATTTATTGTCAAATTGGTTTCCATACAACACCCAGTGTTCATTCCAACAGGTGCCCTCCTCAATACCTATTACCCACCCTCCCCTCCTTCCCACCCCCCATCAACCCTCAGTTTGTTCTCAGTTTTTAAGAGTCTCTTATTGGAAACTACAACTTCAAATTCTACCAGTTATGATATTTTTCTGTGACTAAATATGTAATACGTGTGTAAAACTATGTCATGTAGTAAACAGATATATTGACATACTGATTTGCTTTTATGTCTGGTTATGTTATACAAGGAATCTGTTATAAAAAGGAAGGAAGGAAGGAAAAACCATGAAACTTAGTCATAAAGTTTTTAAAGGTTTTCTATTAAATGTAGTATGCATCCATAAAACCAAAAATATCATAAGTGACAGCTCAGTGAACAGTCACAAACTGAACACACCCATGTAACCGGCATCCAGATCAAGAAACAGAATATCTGGAAGGCTCCTTTGTGTTCCTTTTCAGTCATTAACCCCACCCAAAACCTCGTGTTTTAAAGTTTAATAAAATTATTTGAGTCAGTGAAAACAATTTTTAGGATTTTCTGAAAACAATAAGATATAAAAGTAAATTTCGACTTGAGTATATCTTTTATCAATGTCTTAAAATGTGATTCTCTTTTTATTATTGCCAGTCATTTTCTTCAGTCAGTAATAAATCAAATACTTGCTATCTTCAGCAGGAAAAAGTATTCATTTTACATTTGAAGACTTGAGTGTCCTTCAATTCTGTGTTTCGGGGTCTATGTGTCTTTGTGTTTGCATGTGTAAGTAAATGAACCATATAAATAAAAATATGTATTAGCCAAGAAAATAAACTAGCTTGCAATTTCCTCATAGAGCAAGCTTCTCATCTAGTATTGAACTATTGTCATTTCTTCCTTTTCTTTCTGTATTCTGGCTTCATCCCTTGCCAGATCAATTCATTTAGCAATGGTACACCAGGAGCCTACCCTGTTGTTACTGCTGTGGTTACTTTTGGAGAAAATCTTGCCCTCATAAGTGTTAAATTAATTATGGACATAAAGCAAAATTATTAGAATTGACTGATAATTTTTTTTATGGGTGGAATTGATTTTGATGATAAATTACTATGAATGTATGTATGTATGTATGTATTTATTTTGGTCTTTTTTTTTTTTTTGGCAGTTACACCTCTGAGCTCTTCTATGAGGGCAAACTGATGGCCAGTGGAAAGCAACCAGCACACAAGGATTTCTACCCACTAACTTTCTTTACAGCACGAGGGGAAGATGTACAAGAAAAAAATAGCACAGCTTTTTATAATAATGCAGAGGTACCTAAGTTCTTCTGCAGATTGTTAACATTTTCTCAATTACATAGTTTGTTCTTGTTGAGTGTTTAAGGTTTGGGGTTGACATCTTATTGTGTGTTATTTGCATGAAAGTAGTATGGGCCGTTTATTCTTTCTGTATCACATTGATTTGCTCATGATGAACCCCCTGTGGGAAACAAAAACTGATTTACATTTTGATTACATTTGATTTACATTTCTTTTAAGATTTTATTTTTAAGTAATCTCTATACCCAATGTGGGGCTTAAACTCACAACCCAGAGATCAAGATTGAGACTCACGTACCCCACTGACTGAGCCAGCCAGGCGCCCTTTGATTTACATTTCTTATGACAAAATACAAAATATATGACTTTGTTTAAAAGAAAAGCCAATATTATTTTCATATAATTATTAGTTAGCCATCTCAAATAGACTATGATTATATTTCATAGTACATACTCAGATGAGTCATCGTTATTTTTTATTTATTTTTTAATTAAAAAAAAAATTTTTTTTTAACGTTTATTTATTTTTGGGACAGAGAGAGACAGAGCATGAACGGGGGAGGGGCAGAGAGAGGGGGAGACACAGAATCGGAAACAGGCTCCAGGCTCTGAGCCATCAGCCCAGAGCCTGACGCGGGGCTCGAACTCACGGACCGCGAGATCGTGACCTGAGCTGAAGTCGGAAGCTTAACCGACTGCGCCACCCAGGCGCCCCTATTTTTTAATTTTAGAAAGAGGGTTAAGTGCAAGCAGGGCAGAAGGGCAGAGAGAAAGAGAGAGAGAGAGAGATTTTATTTTTGAGAGAGAGAGAGCACACGAGCAGGGGAGGAGCAGAGAGAAAGGGAGACAGAATCCAAACAAAGCAGACTCTGTGCTGTCAGTGCAAAGCCTGACTTGGGGCTTGATCCCACGATTCTGGGATCATTACTTGAGCTGAAGTCAAGAGTCAGATGCTCAACTGACTGAGCTATCCATTTGCTCCTCAAATGAGTTATCATTTTGGGGGTGGCTGGGTGGCTCAATCAGTTAAGTGTCTGACTTAAAAAAAAAATTTTTTTTTTAATGTTTATTTTTGAGAGAGAGGGAGAGAGAGAGAGAGAGATAGAGAGAGATACAGAGCACAAGCCGGGGAAGGGCAGAGAGAGAGGGAGACACAGAATCTGAAGCAGGCTCCAGGCTCTGAGCTATTAGTGCAGAGCCTAACATGGGACTCGAACTCACGAGCCATGAGATCATGACCTGAGCCAAAGTTGGACACCCAACAGATTGAGTCACCCAGGCACCTCAAAAGCATCTGACTCCTGATAATGGCTCAGGTTGTGATCTTGAGGTTGTGAGACTGAGCCCTGCCTCAGGCTCTGCCTTGAGCTTGGTGCTTGCTTAGGATTCTCTTTCCTCCTCTCTCTGCCCCTTCCTGACTCGTGTGCCTGCACGCAACCTCTCTTTCAAAATAAATGAATAAACTTAAAAAAGAATAATAATAACAAGTCAGACTTGAATTACAGAGTCATGTGCTCCAGGATCTCCAGGGAGATCACACAGGCCCCGATGACAGTGTTGCTAAGCTATAGGGTGCTATGTAACTTGTATGGTTCTCTTACAGTTTCTGACTTTTTAGGTGCAGAGAGAATGTGGGTAATATGGTCAGATCAGGCAGCAGACTAAAACCTGGTGAAGACTTTTAGGGCCAGCAGGCCAGGGACCCTTGGGTTAGGTTCTGGTTGTCACGAAGGAGTAGGGTGTTGGACTTCAGGAAACCCAGAGGAGGGCATATGCTTGTTGGTCATTAGAAGAATGGTTTCTGGTCTATGATCTCCAGATCATAGATCTATGATCTTCCCTTTCTTCTGTTGAGTCCCATGCTTTACTCATTTTATTTTCACAGAAATGGGTCTTACTATGTAATAGTAATTCATCTTTCCTTTTAAAAATTGATCATGGGGGGCGCCTGGGTGGCGCAGTCGGTTGAGCATCTGACTTCAGCCAGGTCACGATCTCGCGGTCCGTGAGTTCGAGCCCCGCGTCGGGCTCTGGGCTGATGGCTCAGAGCCTGGAGCCTGTTTCCGATTCTGTGTCTCCCTCTCTCTCTGCCCCTCCCCCGTTCATGCTCTGTCTTCTCTCTGTCCCAAAAATAAATAAACATTGAAAAAAAAATTAAAAAAAAATAATAAAAAATAAAAATTGATTATGGGTCTATAGTTAGAAGTCAGTACAAGAAAGTCAACTGCTGTTAACTGTTCAGTATAGGCCTTCTGCAGCATGGAGCTGTGGCAAATGGGATCTGATGGTCACCAGCTCCAAAACCGCCTAGACTAACTTTTTCACACCAGGGAGCTCGATAGAGGAGATGGGAACTGCCCCTCAGCTGCTAAGACAGCCTTTTCTGTGACACGGAGCTGTGGGGGCTGGATGCAGTCCCTAGCTTGAATGCCCTGGCCTCCCTCTTAGTGTCTGTAGACTTTGTTGAATAAATGCTTCTCAATTAATTTCTTATAAGCTCGTTAATCAGTCTCCAGAGACTATGAATGATTGTCTGCTAATTTTGACCAGCTTAACAGCTGTCTGTCTGGGATAGAAATTTCCCCAGCTCCTCATATCACCGTTCCAAGTCTGTGTATTTTGACTGCAGTTTTATGCATCCCTTCACAGAGGGATGAAGTGGGGAAATGGTTCTGTATTGCTCAGCGGTAGGAACTCTGTGTATGTGTTTGGGGTTGGCGGTGGGTGGTAGACGTGTCTCCGCAGCTTTCATCTACCCCCGTATTTAACCAAATGGGTAAACCTAGGTTTTTCTTATTCCTTATTGCGGTAGACTCCGGCCCGCCTTTCTTACTCCTTGTAGTGAGTCTAGTCCAGGTCTTCAGTCTAGTTTACTTTTCAGAAACCTTGGACCATCTGCACATCTGAAGCACTTACTATTAAATCATTGTCACAATGGGAGACTCTAGTCTCTATCTCTGGCATTCATTGACTTTGTATGCGGCAGTGTGGACTGCCTCCTGGCCGATAACCCTCAAGTTCTTGAGTAAAAACTGTCCAATTTTATTTGGCATATTTCACATTGTAAATTTAAATAGATATTATTGCCAAATAGTAAATAAATAATGTATTTAAAAGGCAATTGAAAAACTTTCTTCTCTATGCCCCTAGAGTCTTGCCTGACCCTCTGTTGAGCTTACCATTTACGTACACGTATACATGCGTGCACGCGCACGCACGCATATATATGTATATATATATATATACACATATATATACATATATATGATATTTTTTAAGAGTCTGTTTTCTAAATATACAATAATCTCTTAGCAGGCAGGGAACATGTTTTATTAATCATGGTATCTCCCACTTTGCCAAGCATTGAATGTGTCTGATCAATTTGTTGTATTAGAATACATTGAATTACACTAAAAATCATACTAATAATCCAATAAGTAGAGTCCAGAAAATTCAATTGGGTAAAATGTGGTGTTACTTTATTGCAAGGTTAAGGAAATGGCTTGGGCAAACTTGTACTACTGGAAGGCAGTGAGTTGTCAAAGTGTCTCTTCAATCCAGATTTGTCTTAGTCCCAGCTGTGGTTTGATGTTAGCTGTTGGCTGCTTTGCTTAGTCGTATCAGTGGGGGAAGGGGACAGTGCTAGGTCTTGTACTGCTGAGAATTAATGGTGGTGCTGACTCTAGGAATCTTCTGGTTGGCTGTTAATTTCACTGACCTGACCTGGAGTGAATGGACTGAGAAATACTGGGACTTGGTTCTCTGATTCCCTAGATGGGTTGCTAGTTTCATGGCCCTATCCCTGTCCTCCTGTTTACATAGGAAATAGAACCTGTCCCCATTTAAGATTGGAGGCTAAGAGCACCTGGGTGGCTCAGTTGGTTAAGCGTCCAGCTCTTGATTTCAGCTCAGGTCATGATCTCACAGTTCATAGGATTGAGCCCCGCGCTGGGCTCTGCACTGACAGTGCAGAGCCTACTTGAGATTCTCCCTCTCCTTGTCTCTGTGCCCTCACTCTTTCTCTCTCGCCAAATAAATAAAAAATAAACCTAAAAAAAAAAAAAAAAAATGGAGGCTGAAGGGTGAGGACCACGTATCCATTACATTGTCTCTGATATTCATGTTTTCACTGGGTGCATTATTGTAGAATTTTACTGTTTGAAATGTACATAAAAATTTTCTTTCTGTGTTCGTATCAGCCAAGCATTACTCCTGTTTAGAGGTAGTTTTTAAATGACATTCGCTAAAATGGCATCCTTTATACACGTGTTTCAGTTACTGTATTCTTTCCTCCAAACACTTCATAGCTTTAGATGCATCTGTGTGTTTCTTTAAAGGTCTTCGAAGTGGTGGAACGTGTGGAAGAGTTGAGACGGAAGTGGCCGGTAGCATGGGGGAAGTTGGATGATGGCAGTATTGGCGTGGTGACTCCGTACGCTGATCAAGTGTTTAGGATACGTGCTGAACTTCGGAAAAAGAGATTATCTGATGTTAATGTAGAAAGGGTGCTAAATGTTCAAGGTAAGGATTAATCGAAATGAATTAAGTTATTCAGATGCTTAAATCCCGAAGTGTGTACACATTTGATTTTTAATCCCCAAGGTCTCTTTTCTGGACAAGCAACTGTATTTGTTTCATACCGAGTTCTTTAATGCCAAATTTGACAGTTAAAGGTCAAGCTCATTTACATGTTTATTACATTTTCATATCCAAATAAAAGAAGTAGGAACAAATGGAATTTCCAGTGGCCATAGTTGTGTGAATGCCACCCTCTATATCTGTATGTGATCGTCACAGTCACAGGAGCGTATGGCACCTACTGTCTTTATACTGTAGCGGAGGACTGATTTGTTCGTAAAGATTTTTGAAAACGTGTACCCATCAAGCACATTCTGTGTACATCCATTTTTAAATCCATTTTTTGTTTTTTTGTAAACATTTATTTATTTTTGAGAGAAAGAGACAGAGGATGAGCAGGAGAGGGACAGAGAGAGGGAAACACAGAATCGGAAGCCGGCCCCAGGCTCTGAACTGTCAGAACAGCCCAACGTGGGGCTTGAACTCACCAGTGGTAAGGTCATGACCTGAGCTGAAGTCAGATGCTTTACTGTCTGAGCCACCCGGGCGCCCCAAGGCACAGTTTGTTTTTATCCGTAAACTTTCCTAAGTGAATAGTTACCAGCAGCTCATTTAAATTGTCTTCATGTAATCAGTTGCTGTAGAGTTTCTGCTTTGAAATATACGAAGCAATAGTATCAGATGAGTGCTGGAAAAGGTCAGTACAATTACAGTTTTAGGTTTCATGGGAATAACAGTTTTTAGAGTATAGGGACAAAATAGCTCCACTATACCATGTGTTGTCCAAATCCCACAGAATTTGGGTGTGCATTTAGAAGGAGTATTACCAGTAAGCTAGGATGCACCCAGAGGAGACTTAGGATAGGTAATGGTCTAAAAACTGCCACTTAGGAGTCAGAAATGGTTGAAAGAACTAGGATTGTTTGGCCCAGAGAAGAGAAGAGTACAGATTGGTATTAAATCTGTATTCGGAGATTTGGAGATTTGTCACAGAATGAGGGAATAGATGCGTCGCTATAAGAAAGAGCATAATAAAAAATGCTGTGCAAACTAGACTCGACAGGGCTTCCTTATGGCATCAGCTGTGTCTGCCTTGGTCTGTGAGAGGCTAGATGACCCCGCTTCAAAGAACGGTCCTTGTATTGAATGGCACCTCCGATGAGATCATCACTAAGGCTGGCTCCAGCAATAATATTTTATTAAATTTCAATAAAATGTACCATTTTAACCATGTTTTATGTGTTCATTCTGAAAGTGTCTCTCCAGTTTAAAAATACATAAAATGCCACAGTTCATTGCTATTAAGTACATTCAATTGTTGTGAATGGCATCCGTGCCGTCGTCTCCAGAACTCTTCTCATCTTGTAAAACTGAAATCCTGTCCTATTTCCTTCTCCCTATTCGACCTCCCTCCTCCCTCGAGCCCCTGGCAACCATCATTCCACTTTGTCTATGAATTTGACTACACCAGGTACCTTCTATAAGTGTGGCCATATGGTATTTGGCCTTTTGTGACCGGCCTGTCTCATTTAGCGTCGTGTCTTCAGGGTTCATCCATGTTGGAGCATGTGTCAGAGTTCCCGCCCTTTTTAAGGCTGAATAGCGTTTCATGGTCCGTATATACTACGTTTTGTTTATCCATTCGTCTGTTGCCGCACGCCTGGGTTGCTGCTGCCTTTTGCCCCCGTGACTAATGCTTTTAGGAAATACCTCTTCGAGATCCTGCTTTCAGTTCTTTTGGGTATATACCCAGAAGAGGAGTTGTTGGATCATATGTTAATTCTATGTTTAATTTTAATTCTGTGTTTTAATTTTATGTTTAATTTGTTTTAGGAGCTGCCGTACTGGTTTCTGTAGTGTTTTGCATCCCATTTTACATTCTCACCTGCAGGACACGAGAGTTCCGGTTTTTCCACATCTTCACCGACACCTGTTATTTAGCAATAACGTTTAGAAACTAAAATGCTTTTATTATATCAGTGGCTGAAAATAACAATCTTAAGCGTCTTATTTATTTATTTTTTATAGGAAAGCAGTTCAGAGTTTTGTTTCTTAGCACAGTACGTACAAGGCATACTTGTAAACACAAACAGACACCAATTAAAAAGAAAGAGCAACTGCTGGAAGATTCCACAGAGGATTTAGATTATGGTTTTTTATCTAACTACAAGCTTCTCAATACTGCCATCACAAGAGCACAATCTCTGGTTGCTGTGGTGGGTGATCCCATCGCCCTGTGCTCTATCGGAAGATGCAGGTAATTATGTGTTCCTGATTAAGACATTAAAGGGGGAAATGTAGAGTGATTTGCATTCCTATGTGTACATTTATTTATCTGATCTCTTGGCTAATTAAAATCAAGTTCAATCTTACCTCATACCCAGTGGGAATACAAACATATATTGTTCTGGGTCTATTCATTGTACTCATTATTACGTATTCGTTCATTTAGTCGTCATTCGGCAGATGTTTCCTGAGCGCCTACTATGTTCTAAGCACTCTTCTAGCCACTGAGGATTCAGTGAACGAAATGAATAAAAATCTTTGCTTTTATGGGGCTTACATTTCATTAGGGAGGAGAGGAAGAATGAGAATAAAGTAAGAATACCATGTCGTTTTTTGCATGGTAAGTTCAGTGGAAGAAAAATAGAGAAATCAGAAGGGTGCCACGGTGGGCTGGGTTGTGATTGTACACGGCATGGTCAGAGCACCCCTCACTGAGAAGCTGACTTTGAAGTGAAGGAGTGAGCTCTGTGGGATATCTGGGGTGAAAATGCCCCAGGAAGAGGGAGCAGCTTGTGCAACGGTCCTGAGGTGGTTTTGTGTACGTATGTATCTTTGATGGAAACTGAATTTTATAAAATTGCTACTTCATTTTTTTCCCTTTGTTATTGTGTTAACTTTTTTGATGATTTTCCTTCTCTACTTATTTTCTCTCGGGCCTTCTAAGTATAAATGTTCTTTGTGTCTGGTTAATCCAGAGGATCTTAAAATTTAGAGGGGTTAGGAGTGGTTATAACTTGTCTCTAGATAGTGTTGCTAGTAGTCCTTAGCTTATAGTCATAAGGAACTATTTCTACTAAAACTAAAAGTTATATACCAGTTAATAGGAATTTTAACTGTTTGAAGCTGGTAATAGAAGACTTTTGTCATTGTAGTATTGAAAATTATGTTACTATTAACAAACAGTTGAACAGAAATTAATATATACTTTATGAAAAAGAAATACACTAGGGATTATTTAAAGTTGTGTAAGTACTCTGGGATCTGTCACAGTGAGTTCAGACAACAGAGATATAGACAGTGCTGATTATTCCCTGGGTCATTATTTCTCTTTGATACGTTAGAATTAAAGTAGACAGAGCTGTTAGGCAGTGGCCTTTTTAAACCAACTTTTCTATTGCGATATAGACATGGCAGCATTTTATTGTCTGTTTTCCTGTTTCAGCAAACAGGAAAGAACAAAAAGGATTCTCTATAGGAAGGGAGACCATTGGGACCTTTAATCATAATCATAATCATAATCATAATCATAATCATAATCATAATCATAATCATAATCATCATGTGCATGTATTCAAGTTTAAAACTTCCAAAGAAGTTAATATACTTTATAGGGGAAAGCTATTAACAAAGGAATCGAGTAGTTTTAATTTATGGTTAGGTTATAAAGAATAACCTTTTATTTTACAAAAAGGCACAAAACTTGAATGGTCCATGACTTACTTATGCATAGCTAAACAGTCCTGTTGTAAAGTATCTTTAATTTCATATTTAAAAATTTGATTGACATCCATTTTTAACCACTAAAAAGCTGGATAAGGGAATAGTATATGAATTCCAAGTTACAAGTGAATAAACTGGGTATAATAATTTGACTTCTTTCCTGAGAATTTTAGTTACTTTATAATTTGTTGAAAGCGTATTTGGCTAGAATATTCCTGTGATATTTTACCATTTTTGTTTATATTTATCATTTGAAAAATGTGAAAAAATCACATACAGTTTGATTGGAATTTAATAGATTAAAATGCATATAAAATAAGGTAACATGTATTTAAGGAAACACTGTGTTGGGGAATAAATAGGTATAAAAATAGTCTTGAGCCAAACGTGTTTTGGGCTCTCTTTATAAATACCTCCAAACCTTTACCAGTGTGAGTGTTATTTTTTTAAAGCCATTATCCATTTCTGTAGAGTTGTATTATGCTGTGAATTGCATGACCTCAGCATTTTTCACCCCTTCTCTGACATAAATTGTTATTTTCTCAGAGCAGATAGGTAAATAATTCTTTCTGAGGCCAGGCTGTCAGAATAATCTAGGGCTGGATAGTTTTTAACTTGAAGCCAGGCCTTCTGGTTGCTTATTTCTTACTACTCAACTGGAGTGTATTAAGGACTGTAAATTATTTGTAAGCTAGGCAGAATATTTTCAGAGAGTTTAAGTATATTGTTTAGGGAGACAAAAATCATGTGACTTAATTTGGACTGCTGATTATCTGTGTTATTTGGACAGTTTAATCACGGTTCTAGTCCAAGAGCTAATAGTTGAAGTGCATGGGTATTTGAGCTTTAATCTTTCTAATTTCATTAGAAATTAATTTAATCTCACAATACAAGTAAACTTGGAGGACATAGATGATTCTTAGGTTCTATGACCACAGAGGAGTGAATTCTTTGTAGTTTATGTTAATCAGGACTCCCTTCCCCCACCCCGTCCCACTCAGTATTTGTGAAAAACTAATGATATTTCCAAATATTGATTAAGCTTCCAAGGAATGATTATTGCGTGTAGTATACGAGTTTAGAAGGCAACCATTATATAATCTTTTTTGTTGTATTTTTATTTTTGTTTAATTATTAACAAATTTTTTTTAATGTTTATTTTTGAGAGAGAGAGAGCACGAGCAGGGGAGAGACGGGGAGAGAATTCAAAGCAAGCTCTGCACTGTCAGCACAAAGCCCGATTTGGGGCTTGAACCCACGAACCATGAGATCATGACCTGAGTTGAAATCTGAGGCTCAACCGACTGAGCCACCCAGTGCCCTTTTTGTTGTATTTTTAAGTAGAGTTTCTCTATTAACCTGAAATGAAGGTAGTGAACTACCCTTTCGCCAACTCGCCAAACCAATGAGTATTAATATAGTAGCGCTGTTTATTGACAGCTTTCTCTTGCCAGGTGCTAGGTCAAGTGCTTTGCACACTTAGCCTTGTTCAGTCATCCCAGCAACCCTGCAATGTGGGAATTTTATTTGCATTTTAAATGGGCTGACTGATTCAGAGTTTAAATTACTGCCCAAGGTCATATAGCTGTTAAATGGTTCACTCAAACAGATGTCGCATTGACTTCAAAACCCAAGCTCTTCTTGGTGGGTTACCCTGCCTTTCCCAGAAAGTGATGAATATGCTTGTATCAATCTACACTGAGTGGGGAGAGCCAGAGAAGATTTGTACATTTCTCCAAACCATGGTGTTCAGAGAAGGTCTTCCTTTGAACCAAATTACTTCGTTAACAAATTCCATTTACTCAGTGAGATGGAAACATATTTCATATGTATGTAGAGGTGTATGTACACGTGCATGTACACATACTGTATAACATGAGGATATCAAGTGGTTTTTCAGTGTTTTTTTTTATCAGTGATCCTAGAAGCAAAGTTAGCATAAAAACAAAACCATACTTTGTTCATGCAGTGATTAAAGTAAGGTTATGTTCTTTGAAACACTTGTAATTGTATTACAATATAGAGACATACTTGGGTTTTCTAACCCAAATTGTTAATAATATGTGAAAATTTTAGGGAGGCGCCTAAGAATCAGTGGAATCTGTAAATAACAAGAGCCTCTATCTTCATTCTGAGAGTAGTTGGAAGTTCTCAGGTGATCTTTCACTGAGGTGTTCATACATCCATACTTCGTATTTTACTGAAGTATTGGGAGTTCAAGGGCTGTGTCAGTAGTCTTTGAAAGAGCTTTCATGAAGACAGGAAAGGAAACTTTTTAACTTTTAAGAGTTTTTGAAGGAAGAAATACTCTCAAAGTTTAAAAGTGAGAAACTGAAGGAAGTATAAATTCTATTGGTGCCCTGTTTTACACATGAGGAATCTGAGCTACAAAGAGATTAAGTTATTTGATTGCCTGACTTTACACAGCTACTGAATGACAGAGCCGTGACTGAAACCCCAGCTGTCTAGCTCTGGAATCCATGCGCTTGACCACTTTGCCATGTCAGTCAAAGGATGAGTGAGATTTAAAATGGAGATTTCGGGCTGCTTTTGGAGCTGCTTTGACTTGATTAGCTTATTGTAAGTGTTTAGGATTCTGAAATGGTATCCTTTAGCTCTCAGACTGTTTCTTTGAGATCTCTGGGATCTTGTAGGCAAAGACTCACTGAGCTACTAGTTTCTTGTGAACTGTGGGGTCATTTGAAGGTTCTGCTCAACTCAGTGTTAATTCAGCTCCCGTTCAGTGCAGTTGAGGTCAGTGACAGTGGTCAAGGAACAGGGTATGGAGTTTAAAAAGGAGCTGAAACATTGAGTTCTAGCATCTTGGGTACATACGCTGGAAATGGCGATTGTTATAAAAAATTGGTATTAAAAACTGAGAGCAAAAGCCAGTCCATTCACTCCTTGTTTTGCTCTGTCTTGAATTGCAACCCAAGACGAAATGCCATTTTATGAAACGGATACTTTATCAATTAGATCAGAGAAACTTCTTTTGAATGTAGCATGTAGAATCATGTTGAAAGTATTCAGAGAGTTGAATATTGTGGCTTTTTAAATCGGAAGGGTGGGAAAGTTTATGGATTTTAGCTCCTGGGATTTTAGGTCCTGAGTGCTATATTAAAGATCCTTCCTTAGCTATTAGACTGTGAGAAAAACGCCTTCTGATTCCTTCAGAAGTGTTCTTAGGAATAAAAATAAAGGGTAGCTTTTGGTTTGCATTTCTTAGCAACACATACTTCCTGCAAATGAATGACTGTCTTTTAACCTTTATGTCTTACTGTCAAAAATACATACTTCATATTTTGTGGTACTTGTACTTTTTCTGTTGTTGGCATGTAGGCCTGAAATTTTTCTGGACCCATTTCTTGAACTTACCTTTAAAAAAGTAGAAAGGACACACGTAAGAGAAACATAGTCCAGAATTAAACTCTGCAAAGTTTTGTGAATATATTAATAACCCAATTCCCGTTCACATACTGACTTTTAGAATATAAAGCTTTTCATCTGTGCTTCTTGAAGCCATCTTGATTACTTCTGTCCACAAGGATACCAGCTTGGGAAGAAACCATATCATATATCTTTCATAGCATAATAACACATTATTTGAACCTCATATTAAAGATAGGTATGCATATTTATAGTCATTTAAAATTTAAAAATTATGTTGTCTTTTGTAATATGTATTTATTATTTTTAATATCCAGAGATCAGATTGCCAACCTGTAGGAAAATAGTCATACAGTTGCAACAAGTTTTGAGTGTATTTTTCTCCTTTAGTATTTATTAATGTGATTCGGAAATGAATAATCAATATTAAAATTAGCATTCCAACTTCCTCTATTTTTCATACTTAATTTAACTCTCGTAGTCAATGTTGTAAGTTGTGCTTGTGACAGGCATCTGTTGAGTAAGAGAAAAATATAGGAATAGCTAGTTATTTCTTAAGAATCTTCATGAGGAATATCTACTTTGTGGCTCAGATTTATGTCCTGAGTTGGCTTTTCTTAGTCATCCAACACCAGGCTACTTTGTCCCCATAATTCAAATTAGTCTAATTTATGTATGTGTCTGAATTTGTGTATGTATATAATGTATGACTATGTCTAGAAGTACAAATCATTTGTAAAATGAGCTGGCATCAGTTTTGAAATCCCTAGTTATTATGTGGATAACAAGACTGTCATTTTGGATTAGTGTGGATAATTGAGCATTGACCACATTACTTGCATTGATCGGCCAAAATTAATTGGGAGCATAATTTGTATTTTCCACGATATTAGACATGACTGTAGTTTTGCAATCAAACTTCTGGAGTCTTGTGATCTGGTGGAAAGATTATACCTGAATCATAGCCAGATGAACGTTGGATCTGAGGATTTGGGGTGGGAAGAGGGAATTTGAAGCTCTCTTTAGTTGCTTATGTTCATTTCTGTGATCTCATCCACTGAAATTGTAAAATGATCTTGTAAATCTTTTCTGTAGGAAATTTTGGGAGCGGTTTATTGCCCTGTGTCATGAAAATAATAGCCTACACGGAATCACTTTTGAACAGATCAAAGCTCAGCTAGAGGCTTTAGAACTAAAGAAGACATATGTGTTGAATCCGCTGGCACCTGAATTTATCCCCCGGGCTCTAAGACTGCAGCATTCAGGAAATACCAACAAACTGCAGCAGTCACCCCCCAAGGTAAAGCCTGTTAATGGACTTGAAGAGGTTAAAGGGAGAGAACAGCACAGAAGGGTAAAGGTTTGTTGGGCTGCAAGTTACTTCAAGTATTGGAAACGAAGGTTATATTTGGTAGCAAGTAGTTTCTGCAAGGAACTTGTCTAGTTTGGACACGTAAGTGAACATGTGGCAGTTAGCCGTGCTTAATGTCCTAGTGCTTCTCAAAAAGTTTTCAAGAACTTCATTGCTTCTGGAGTCCTGTGCATAATACAGCCTCCCGGTCCTCCCTGCTGATAGGCTGATTTTAGTAAGATGTGAATAAAACAAAGCAGTTTAAAGGACTATCTCGCTCATTAAAAGCATGCCCTTAGGGCATATTATTTATGAGGAATAATATTATATAACATTGTTTGTGGAAAGCAAATAGTTCTAATCCTTTGTTGGTGACCAGTTCAAGTGCTATTTGACACAGTGAGAAGATTTGGTTGGCCTCTTGAAGATTACTTTAACTGATCTGCTGACCCGTATTGTTGTGTAAGAAGTAGTCCATCAGAGGGAATGGAGGTGGGTCAGCCAGGGCCATTTCTACTTTTGAACCATAGCTATTTTGGGCAGAGACAGCTGGTTTATTTGCTACAGCGCCTGAAAAAAAAAATGCTTGCACTTACCATAGAAAAGAAAGTTATGAGAATGGCACGTTTAGTATTTGTTCTGTTGTTTTGCTATATTTACAGTCATCAGCATGGTATTAAATTTATTGACATGAATTAAAAGAACATGTCAGTTTGGGGCTTCATTTTAAAAGCGTAAAACCTTGGGGCGCTTGGGTGGCTCAGTCATTTAAGCGTCTGACTCTTGATTTCGGCTCAGGTCATGATTTCACGGCTTGTGAGTTTTAGCACAGAAACTGCTTGGGATTCTCTCTCTCCTCTCTCTGCCCCTCCTCCTGCTCCCACTCACATGTGTGCTCTCTCTCAAATAAATAAACTTAAAAAAAAATTAAAAAGTAAATCCTGATGTAAACAGTAATTAAGTAAACAATAGTTAATGTTTTAATATCTTGAAACTCTCTTGGTTAAATAGGTATTAAGCTGAGAAGAGAACTTCTGTGTTACTATACTTTGATTATTATTAATTTAATGAAAATGGACCTATGGTGCAATAATGCTTTAGCGATTTGGGATTTCCAGGGGATTAAGCATTTCGCATAAATGAATCTTCTAGGTTTCTAAAGCTTAAACTATAATAAATTAATAATCAACTTACTTATCAAATAGTTAAGTTTCTTCTGTGTGCCAGCTGGTATGTTCAGTACTGGAGAAGCATAGATAAGCACATAAGTCCCCGAGTCCTCTTGGGGAAGATGTTGGAGGGTAGTGGTCAGAGGAGAGAGGTGGATTCAAGGCATTTTCCACCACAGAGATCTTGTTTTTAGGAATCCACCGAGTGGATGGGGGTAGTGCTCCACTGGGGAGACATTTCAAGAACTAGAATATAAGCTCCATTACGGCAGAGATTTTTGCCTGGATTATTTACTGCTCTAGCCTCTGTGCTGCAACAACATCTGGCTCCTCATAGGTGGCTTATAAGTATTTTTTGGATGAATTAATAAAGCTTAAGAAAGAGCTGATAGAAAAGACCAGAGGTATGAGAGAACAGGTTCTATAGGGACCAGCAAGGAGTATAGGGTGTGTGGGGAGTAGGGAACCCAGGTCGAAACTTTTACATTTTCCGGTTTTTTTTTTTCTTTTTCTTTTTAATTAAAACATTGCAAAATCATTATACCCTTTGCACATTCCTAACTACAGTAGAGTAAACTCTTCTTAGTGACTTGGGAATGTAGGAATCAACTTATGTACTGCAGGTGCAGCTAAATTGAAGCCATGGAACCGCATGTGTATGGACCCTAAGCAGGACCCTGCAGTTTGCTTTTTGTTTTCGTTTGAAAGGTGAAGAAAATATATGTTTATTCCACTTGCTCTTCTAAAACCATAAACTCCCTGAAGACAAAAATCCTGTTCTATATACTTTTTATGGCCCCTAGTGCCTACCCCACTCTTTGCATATAGTGGGTGCTCAGTAAGTATCTGAGAAATCAATAATGGTTATGATGCATCCAGTAGAGTGTAGCCTGGCTTTTTTCTTATAAATGAGAGGATTGTGTAATTAAAGGCCAAAGCAGCCATCTTCCTGGTGTTTCTTTTTCTTTCTTTCTTTCTTTCTTTCTTTCTTTCTTTCTTTCTTTCTTT